CTTTTTCTTCTTTGGAAAATGATGTTATTATACATTAAATGACTGCTATATGTTCACTGAACACCAAAAAATTTTTTTTTCAAATATTCAATGAATCCTAATTTAGGATTAGGGCCAAATCTGACCCTTTGGGATTTAAGGGCAGCATTTGAGTAGCAGGGGCCAAATTTGTCCCCGTGGGTTCTCCAGGGTTTTTAAAAACATTCAAACAACTCGAGTGAATTGCGTCCGGCTTCGGCCCTCTCCGATTTTTCATTCCATCCACCCGCTTGTTTGCACGGTTTACCCCTTTCCTCTGGCAGTCGGCACTTTCCCCTTCTGTGGTGTCATTCGCCGCATCAGCTGTGCTCATTTTTCACCAGCCGCGTTGACACAAAAAGCAACGTGAATCTGTGCAGCTAGCCCAAGTCCCTCCCCTCACCAAAAGCAGAGGGATCATCCCAGCCGGGAGATACGGTGTCGCCTTCTCAACAACACCCGCCAAGATCGGGCGCATGTTTGCGAGCCTCCGACATGTGCCAGTGCGCCACGCAAATCCATGCGCGTCACACTTGGTTTGAGAGCAGTGACATGTGCAGACATCTTTCGTGAGTGGACAACCCCATCGACAAACATTAATCTGTCTCTGATAGTTGTGGAGTGGTTTGTATTTGGTGCAAATAGTAAAAAGGCGAAAGAGTAAAAGTGGGAAGTTGTTCCAGGGAGCTCTATTGTCATACCGGTATTTTGTACAAAGAAAAAAAAAATCAAGGTAAAATGTTCACGCCCTGTTAGATTTCACATCAAGTATGGTCTCTCTTTATTTAGGGTGATGTTACCTTATCGCTTCGGAACAGCAATCGTCTCCCCCCATTTTATTTTACGCCAGTGATCGGCCCATGTGCCCCCCTGGTCATGTGGGACCTTATCACAAGAATACATTAGGAATCATTTCGGGCGCTGGTTTTGGCTAATCTCTAATAGCATTAGTTGCGCTTTGGTAATCCTGAATTAGCATGAATAAAAAAGAGGAGATGGCATCTGCGGCATATCTTTCAAACTAAAGATTTTCTTTCTCCATGTGCCGCATTGATCGGTCCAGCAAGGAGTTAAAGGGACAACAGAGTTTTGAAAACTTATATCCAGCTGTCGTTTCTGTCAAGAATAAATCACAGTTCATGGAAAGATGGAAAGCATTTTCTTTCAACGTTATGAGCAACAGCGTGCTGTGTTTTTGTCCCGAAAGTGTCTATTAAACAGTATGTCCAAATTTTTGAGGATTTCTGAGATCCTTTCATTGTTTTTCATGATACTGGAGCTTCTCAAGTGGTGTCTGTCCCTGAAATCTGAGCTCACAATCTACTGAAAGCTATGGATTGATTTATTTCCTTATTATCTGAGGGGATGAAAGAGATTGATGGAAGTCAATGAAAGATTTTCGAGAGCGGATGTTTATCCCTGGTCCGGGTCAAGACTCATCTTCTGGCTTATTATACATTGGACCAGTCAGCATTGCGCTGACCATTCTGCACGGAGGGGCGATATGTGGCCAAAGAAAATGAGATGGGAGAGGGAGGGGCTTCGGGGTGTAGAACCGTGTCAGCATGTGTGTGAGAAAGAGCATCTTCACATCGACCGCAGTCCAGTTGATGAGTGATGGACTGAAGCTTAATGACATGCACACTCATTGGGGCCACTTAAATATTTATGGAGGAATGCTCCGAGCACGGACTGAAATGGAAGCGGCGAGTAAATTTAGAAGTGCTCAGTGCGCGTGTGTGGGAGCTTGCGTGCGTGCCCCGTGCGTGTGTGCCTCACATTGAAACGCTGCGCCTTAATTTGCTCGGAACCAACACCGGCGCACAACCGCAGGGTGCAAGGTGCCTGCGGGGCTCGAAAGACGACGTGAACAGGTGCTGCGTTATGTGCAGAAGCAAACGTGTGTCCTCTGAATTCCAAGTGTACAAGTCATTTTGAATCTGTGCTTGACGGTACAGCCTTAAATGTAGTTGGTAACATAATCCAAGTACTGTAAATTTAAATGAATGTAACATGTTTACTTTCAGTGACTCTTGAATGACTCCAATACCACGTGTTGAAAAATTTAAGAGCAACACGTAACCAGTGGCTGTGTCATGAAGCTATATTGTGAGCACTTAATCCATGAAAACTCGTGTGGCCTAAACTCGAAGTCTGTTCGAGTATTGAGATGAACCTGTATGAGGCAGTAGTTTGCAAAAGGGCAACACGAAGAGGCAGGAAAGTAAATAAAGAAATGGGTGATAGCGTCATTCTTGATCTGGAGACTCGTCCTCCTGAATTTTGAAAGTGTCGTTATGCCCCCAAATGGATGAATTTGTTTACTCCAAAACATCCGTCACGGGATACGAAGCCTTGCCAGGGATACAACTAACCAACGTCACCATCTCGACTCCCTAAGCGTTCATGTTTTCTCACCTTCCGAGTCACTCCGCTCCACTGTGACTCCCATCTTTCTCTGCCTGTCACCTCCCACCCGCACACATCCCGTCTGGGAACAGTCTGTGTCGCTTCCTGGACTTGCTAATATGCGCTACCTAAAGGGAATTGTTACAGTCCCGTATGGATATATCACAGCCATGCTCTGTAAATTCTTTCATGCCTGCTCATACACAGGCACGCATTTCGCACATTTCAGAAATAGTCAGACACATGTCCCTGGGCTTACACGTTTTAGTTGCGTCGTAACCGTAGACGTGTCTTCATGGCTAGTTTGGATAGTCACATGTATCCGCCCCATGAGATTTGATGACATTTAGTCCTTTGATTGAGTCTGTTTTGCATGGAGTACAGAGCAGTGATTCAATGGTGGAATTTTAACAGATGAACTAACTGGCATTCATTGGTTTGCGCGGCATTTCCCGTTTTTGTTTTGATTGGCCCATGTGGCAGTTGTGACTGAAGCCCAAGAAGTCTGCCTGGCAACAAGTGGCCAAGCGGATTGTGTTGGGCTATTGATGTTCCACTCGATGTAGTCTAAGTGGTTGTTTCCCCTCCGGTCTTTCATTTGAAAAAAAACAAAAAAATAAAATGGTTTTCAGAGTGTATAGCATTGCTTCACACAGCAACAAATAAAGTACTGCGCGTTAAAAGGACTGGTCACACAGACAATTCTTTGTGAATTTATTTTTATATTTTCATATGCAGCTGGTCAGTGGCAAGCTTCTCGGGAGACCATGCAGTCTGGCTGGAAATACAGCCCGTGTGTCCTCTGTCTCCGGGTCATGCACCAACTTATTTCTGGGGAGGAAACCGAGCCACCGGCATATGGCTCCTCATGCATTTTAATAAAGTGCTGCTCAAAAACAGGACATCCCTCAACATAGCGAGCCTTTGGGTCACTCTGACCGAAAGATGGAGAGAGGGAAGGAGAAGTGTGTGGGAATTAAATGACATGTTATATCGGTGTTGTTATTTATAGTTAAATAGTTGATGAGAGCCGCGGATGGTGTCGTGGTTCACCCGCCTGACTTGTGTGCGGACAGCGTGGGATCGGTTCCCACTCAGTGACGGTGTGGATGTTGGGTGTGAATGGTTGTTCGTCTCTATATGTGTCCTGCGACTGACTGGCGACCAGTTCAGGGTCTAGTCCACCTTTCACCCAAAGTCAGCTGGCTCTAGGTCCTGTAAGCCCCGCAACCAGATTGAGAATAAGCGGTGTTGAATGGAGAGACGAATGTATGAACAGTAAAGTCCACGCAGAAAGGTCAAAGTTGAGGTTGCAACCCAAAGTCTTTCAACGTGAGCTCGATGTGCTGCTCCCACTAGCAAAAACAAATTCAAATTCTTTTCATTATGTATTTGTGATTGTGATCGGAGAAGAGGGGAATCATGTTGAGAGGAAGATGGATGAGGGAGTTTAAGCAGGCTAGCGGGCACAGCTGTCTGCGCTTCCACTGATACGTGTCTTCAGCGCATGATGACCTTCGAATTCCGCAGGCTTTCATTGACGCGCTGCCTGATTCGGTCCCTTTTGGAGGAATTCCGTTGACGTACGTGCTGTATTTCTGCACAGTGGCATATCGTGGTGGAGTCCTGTTAACGTTACCATATATTCACTGCTCACACTAGGCTTGCATTGATCCCCAAAGATAACACTCTTCCCCTATTTTGGCAGTTTTGAGCGTGGCCATAGCACAGTCGACACAAGCCAGGTTTATGTGATGGTTTTAGCTTGAGGATTTGCTACCTCTCTTGACTGTTGGCATTAGCGTGCATGTCGATTTTTTTTTCCCCCTTGCATCCATGCCCACTGTAGACCATTTAGGAATTTGTCACATGTGTAGTACACGTTGCTGCGGACTGGATTACCACTCACTCCATTTAGGAAAAAAAATAATAATAATCTGGCTTTGGATGTGTGATCCAAGCACAAGGGGTTTGTGTTAGCCTCCCCAAAAAAGATACAGCTCTCAAAGACGAGTTCCAATGAAATGAAGAAGCCAAATCGAGAAGCATTGTTTTATTTTTGTTTTTCATTGGGCAACGCTGAAATGAAATGAGACTTTGCTGCAATGTGAAGTAGTCAGCATACAGCTTGTATAACGGTGTTCATTTACTGTCCCCTCAAAATAACTCGCTCAACACACACAGCCATTGGTGTCTAAACCGCTGGCAACAAAAGTGAGGGCACCCCTTCATGAGGATGTCCAAATCGGGGCCAGTTAGCTGCTGCCCTTCCTCGTTGTCATCTAACCTGTCCGTATTACAAGGCATCATGTGTGAATGGGAATCACGGTCTTTTAACATTCGTGTCGCCTCTCTCACACAATCGCATACTGGTCACCGGACGTTCAATGTGGCAAAGACGTTTCTGATGCTCGTTGCTCTTCATTAAGACAAGCCAGACAAAAAGATGATATGGACAAAAGTGTGACGGGTGTACTCACTTATGTGATATACTGTATAAGAATGTACTGTATGTCAGATTAAACGGCTGGCTTTGAGTGTTAGCTGACTCCAATGTTCTGTTTTCTTTCTAGGACGGCCCATGCCAGGACGAAGAGCGAGGCCGCAGACCAAGCCGCCATCTCTGCAGTCCAAGATGCTGAAATCGCCAGAGCGGTTGCTCGGGAGCTTGCACCAAACTTCTATCAACCAGGTGACCTTTGACAGCCTCCCCAAAACAGTCTAGCATTATACATGTACAGTTTCAAATGATTTCAAAATATTTCTCCAAAATGATTTTGGTGTTGGTTTTAAACTCCAGCTTCATTCGGTACAAAGTGTGCCCTGTTTAATATTATTCCCAAAATGCAAACCCCACATTGCAGATGGACAGCCACCCCATCTGCAGTTAAGTAAACAAACACCGCCGTCCACTTTGTGAAGACATACATTATGGTACGTACGTTTTTCAGCTATTTAAAGAAAGCGAACTTGAGAGACGAGGCAGCAGAAACACAAGCAAGGACACTGTCGCTGTGCCATGAGTGTACTTTTTAGTCACAAAATTTTCAAATAAACCGTCTTTATTGAGGTTTACCGCGCCATCGCGGTTCTGACTCTTTGTAACGGGAGCACAAAAGTGTCAGCTTCTGTGTTCCGGCACTGAAATGGCAGATGAAAAGTAATGAGGAGGGTTACAAATGTGCCACAATGTAAGGCTGTGTTTGTGCCAAAGACAAAGCTGAATTCTGCCTGGGAGCCTTGTCTGTGCTCTCTCGGGCTTGTTCTGAGCAGCTTAAGTCTGAAGACATCGAACCTGCCAAAAATAAGTGTAAAAAATATATATAAAAAGAGAGAAAGTCTTTCAGCACCCGTAGGTATTAATTTCATCATCTATTTCATATTGCGGTCCTGTGTAGTGAGCCTCGAAATAATTGTACATGAAAGAAAACAAACCCATTCATTACACGAGCTGTGTGATGTCCGCTGTGTAGCAGCGAGGCGTGTCTCCCTCCCTCGCTCAGACTGTGCAGTATATTTAGGCCTTTGAGCCGCATGACCTTGGGCCTTTGCCAGAAGGCACCACAAAATAGTGAGTGACCAACACATTGACAATGGGACTCATTTGAACGTGTCCCCTCCACTAAGCCGCAGCGACGCTCCGCTCCGGCCGCAAACACCGTGGAGCCATTTGTCGTGTTGTGGAAACCGGCGGTCATGCCACGGCCGCAGGAGGGATCCGCACATTTCCACAAGTGTGTGCAGAGGGTGTCCTTGTCTTTCCAGTGAGATCATGAATGAGAGAGCGGCCAATGTCCTCATCAAAGTGTGCAGGGCACGGCGACATCACAGAGTCCCGGAACCAAGAATGCTCTTGCGGCTTGCTGTTGGGTCCCTTTGCCCTTTGGCTGCATGTTTGAGTGCAAACACACGCCCCTATTCTTTTTATGCTTATATGACAACCACCTCAAAGAGGGAACGTGCACGCTGGCCAAGCAAATAAAAGCCAGCCAATATTCACTCTTCCTTCTTCAGTGGTGGTGTCATTGTCCGTTGATGTTACATCAGAACGAGCTTTTGTATCATCGCCGAAGCATTCAAAGGAACCCGCCCACACTAACGGTGTAAATATGAAGCACCTCGTCTGCTTGAATATATTCGGTGAACTAAAATGACTCAACCAAGATTTAATAATCCAAATGACGCACCTCCTACATTTATCTGAATTGTTTCATTAAAATGAACGCATTGTGCTTTGTGCTCATCATGAGAAAACTTTTTTTTTTTGAAAAGTACTTAATATCTTCGAATGGATTTGACTAAATTTTGGCAAAGTTGTGCCATTGTGGTCATGTCGCGCAACTTTACATCGACTCCTTCACATTTTACATCGTTTTTGGCTACCTTGCAGTGGAAATGTTAGCACTTTTCCCCAGTCGCTCAGCTTTTCATGCTCAATCCTCCCGGGTAGCAACCAGGGCTGTAAACCCCTTGTTGTTTGTAATTGACATATCAGACTCATCGCAGATTATCACCCACATTGGGAGTGTCCACTTCAAAAGGGAAAAAATAGGGTCACAGCGAACAGAACCCTGACCTTTACGATTGGTTCACACACAGCACTCTGGAGGGGAGCGCTGAGGGTGAGGGTGGGCGTGGCCCCCCGTGGTGACGTTAACTGGGCTATATTGGTTGCCAACGTGGGTTTGCCGCTGTCTGATGGAGACATAACTGGCATCTTTGCCCGCTCTCGCCGCCCCTCCCTCTGCATGGCTGACGCGGCGCAGCTGTCCCTTCCTTCAGCCGGTCACCAGAGGCGGGGGGGGATCACGCTCCACCTTGTTTGACCCAGTGAAGGTACACTCAAGCGCAATCAGGTGGCGTCATAAAAGCTGGAAGCTGATATGAGCAGTTGCGACTTATGAGTCCCGGGAGCAGGTGTCGCACCTCAACGTTGACTTTTGAGGATACTGCATGTGCACAAAAGTACTGCTTTGCGTTCAAAGGAAATGAAAATTGAAAGAAGATAATGAGAATGCCCTTTTCATGGCAATCCGCAGTTATATTGAATGACACAGCATTGGTTCGTCCCATTGTTAGTGAGCTGGAGACAATCCCAGCCAACTTTGGGTGAGTGACAGGAAGGGCAAGGCCCCAGACTGGTTATTAATAAATCTGAGACCATCAAACTACCACTGACACTTACAATGACACCTAGGGGCAATTAGAGTGTTTCACCGACCTAACATAATGCCCCCCCCCCCCCCCCCCCCCCCCCCCGCTCCCATCTTCGTCATGCTGACCTTGGTAAATTTACAGTGCATGACAGTTCCAGTAGCACGTCTCTCCAAACTGCATTCTAGTTCATTCCAAATGTATTTGATGGCATTAAAAAGTCAAGTTCTTCAATGTAAAGTTCAATTTTACTGCGGACTTACTGGCGATGGTTCCATGAGCGGTCAAGCTCGAGAGAAAAACGGAATCTATTGACCCAATTTTGTCCACGTCCAATCGTCAGTTGAACACTCATTTGATCGAAAGGGGCAACATGCAAACGACAAGTCTGCTCTCACAGTCAAGCTCGAGAGAAAAACGGAATCTATGGACCCAATTTTGTCCACGTCCATTCGTCAGTTGAACACTCATTTGATCAAAGGGGCAACATGCAAACGACAAGTCTGCTCTCACAGTCTAACATCAACGCAGCACAGTACAAGGTGACAAATTAAGTGTGATTTTTCATACATGCAGGTGGACATTTACATTCGGTTTCTGAGTTTATTCAAGGACACAATGAAAATTCCAAACAAGTAGCCTGCTCTGCGTTTGTGTAAAGGGGAGCATCAGTCGGAAACAACCAAACTTTTTACTGTGGGTTGAAGCTGCATCTTCTATATTAATAGTCATGTTTTTTATTGTCAAAATACAATCTCAATGTCGGAGACTGCCCGAGAAGTGGATATGTAAAAAACCTTAAGACATTAGTTTTATTTGAAAGCAACAATGCAGTTTGTGCAGTTTACCGTTAAAACCTCACATGAGGCAGGAGGAGTTAGATAAGAGGCCGCTGCTCTCTCAGTATGAGTTCTTGGACGCTGGATAACATTTTTTTTTAAATAGAACTGGCCTCTGTTCAAGATCTGGTTATCTCCCAAGCCATCAGTGAGCTGTTCTGATTTTATGTTTTATTTTTGCTCTCTGTATTGGTGTTACTCCGTCGTATATTTGAGCTTGCCAATGTGTTGGGGGGGGGGGTAAAAACATGAGAGCAGTTCTGTCATTTCAAATGCATGGCTAAAGAATTCCTAATGAATAATCGCCAATGAAAATCGGCAGATATCTTCGGGATTTTTCTCAGCATTTATAGTCACGCGGATGGATAAACCCATGATTAGAGTGAATTTGCTCTACTTCGTGAGAAAATTAGGCTTACAATATGAAGACATGGGATTTGCAAAAGCATGTACAGGATGATTCTGTTGATGTCAATGTTATACTCAATCCCCTTTGTCACTTGTGCAGGGCCCGACTACGTAAAACAGCAGTTTAAAGAGCCTGTAGCGATTAAGGAGGTCCCCGTTGTGAAGAAAGACGACTCACCACGCGATTCTCCCCATTTTTACCGCAAAGGTACCACCCCTCCTCATTCCCCGTTGAATAGTCCCGTGGGCTCGCCTCCACACTCGCCTCACTCCAACAAGAAGAAAGGCCATCTTGCCAACAGCAACAGCCGAAAAACCAGCCAAGAGGAGCAGCCTTCCCATAAAATAAGCAAGGAGGAGAAGTCGGCGCATAAACACAGCAAAGATGACCGTTCGAGCAGGAAGCCAAACAAAGAGGAGAGAATGTCCGTCCCCGATGGCCCCAAAGCTGCTCATATGCACATCGAGGCACCCCCGAAACCTGCGAAACTTCAACAGCCGAGCCCTCCGCCCGATTCCCCCGCACGTGCCCCTTCCGTCCCGGTCAACGGCCAGCTCCATACGGAGTACCACAGTTACTACGTCAAGGCGCCCGTAAAGGGCCCTCCACCGCCCGACCCAGAGGAGGACCCGGAGCAAGAGCTTAGTGCGCAGGCCCTGGCACGCATGCCGCCACAGCCCAGGTCTATTGGTACCCCGACCCCGACCACGACCCCGACCCCGAAGCCGGCCTCCACACGGGACAGCAAGGGCGAACCGAAACTCAGGAAGCAAGATTCCCTCAAGCCAAAGAGCCTCGCAGACACAAAGAAAGCCAGTATGGAGATTGCAGAAACCACGGCGGAAACAGTGAGTCTTCCTGTTTTTACACTCATTTTGTCTATCTTTTTGCAGTCGATCGATTTTGTACATAATATCAATGACTGTGGTGCAATCGGGGCCCTTTTTCATTCTCACTTCTGGTTTTGGAGTGACTTCCTTCAAATACGTGACTTCCTGTGACTTCCAAATTTAACATTTATACAGCCTTATGAACGTGCCTGGAATATAATTTCTCCTTGGCCAATGGGGCTGTTATTCTGGAGCTTTATGACCTCTGCCTAGAAACAGCTGACCATACAAACATGGGGTGTGAGCAGGAATCATGTTTAACACAAGGGATTACCAAGTGCTGTACTGTAGCTTTTTCTGGTACGTCGTCCTCTCGCCCCAAGTGATCGGTGCGCCACATTTTGTCGCGTCGAAATATAACAGCTCGAGATGACGCACTGATCTACTGAACACGAGCCATATCCGTTTATGAACACGCAGACGTTTTCTGCTGTCAGGAAAAGTGACAGCGCTCAAGTGATGTTTAGGCACTGCCACAAAATTGGCTGGGCTCCACTGTCTTCACTTCGCTGCTCACGCGGCAGCTAGGAGGTCATATTTTTGTGGTAGTTCACATCATTTACCGTATTTTATTTCATGTTGTTTTACAGGGTCCTAACGCCATCCTTGTCGCGATGGTAATGCTGTTGAATATCGGCCTCGCAATTATATTTGTCCATTTTCTGACATGATAGTGCTCATTCTTAGGTAAGTTTGTTTTGACGCAATGTACAGGTGAAACCTCCAAAGCTCTCCAGAGGTTGAACAACATTACGAAATTATGGCAAGGTTGATTTCATGCTCCTGTTATGTTTGTCGTACTTCCGCATTTGACTCCACCCACGGGGAATAAAGAAAAAAATTCTCTATCAATTTTGAAGTCAACTTGCTTCAACGAATGTTTGGGTTTGACTTTGGAGGTTGCACGGTATGAATTTTATCAATCCAGGTTTCAAATGTTGATTGTGAATGAAACAAAAAGTTTGTGTTTCTAGCGAAAAGACGGCAAGCTGTGCAATTGCATCGCCGGCCTTGGGAGAAAAAAAATGGCGCCGACGAGTCACGGTGGCAGCCGGAGGTGTTTGGTTTACAGCATGACACCGCAGAGAAACAAGAGGAAGGCGTCACGAGCGCCGACCTGTCACAGGCCCCGCATGGACCACCCCTGCCAATTAGCACTCCTTTGGGCTTCTGGAAAAATCTGAGGTGAAATGTTGTGTCTATTGAGTTATACTAAACCAATCAAACATAGTGGAAGTCATTTCAACCCGCTGGCGCTGAGGCGAGCAGCGGCCCCTGCAGCCGGACGAGGCGGCGGCCTGACGGACTTTGCTGCTGAGAGAATGTGGAGCTGCACTTTTAGATGACGGGAGCAAACAGCTGCCTTTCTATTTTGCCATCGCCGGGAGGCCACGATGGCGGGGCGAGAGTGAGGTGCGGAACAGTCGCAGTGGGAGCACGAGGGGCGTTTTTCGGGGGGCGAGGGGCTTCCCACCACTTCATCCAACGGCAAGCTGGCCCGGGCCTGTTGCTAAGAAGTCAGTGCTAGCACGGTCACTCGCCAGTCTTACTGTTTTCAAAGATCTTCATGTTTATCCAGCTCCTTCCAGCACTGCTCAGAACAAGCCCCCGTTGCATGGTACTGTTTTGACATTTTCTTTTTATTATATTGTGTTTGTTGTTTGTTGTTGGGATGGTGGTAACACTTTTATTTTGGAATTCACACACCGATTGGGCTGTATTTTTTGGGCGGGGGAAATGCAAGTGCAATATGTTTTTTTTTCATGCACTTGGAGTATATTTTGCTAAAAAATAAATTATATCATTATTATTAAAGTATAATTTATCGCAGGGGTGGGGAACCCATTGCTTGTGGGCCATTACACCGTTCCAAAGAGCATTTGATTTGGCCTAGATTTCAAATTATTTTTATTTTTTTAAACTCTAAGAAAAAGCCCAATAACATTTTGGCATCCATTCTCATAATAATAATAAAAAAACATTGATTCTGTTGTTATATATGTTAATAGACTTCAGAGGACTGAAATGGCCCCAATGAAATGGGATAAATGTTACCTACCCTTGATGTTGATTGACAGCTAGCAAAGGAAGTTTATTGACGCGGGCTGTCGAGAGTGGTGTTAACAAAGGTCTTATTGTTATTTATTGAAATCCGAATCAAATGTTTGAATATGTATTGCGACACATGCCTCCACGACACCACTGGGCTTGAATTCCATCTGTGTTCTCTCCACTGGCCACCATTATTTTATTCTCGGATGCAATGGCTGCTGCGGCAGCGACCGAAACGCTACTTGGGGAGGACGGGAAGTTGGAATTATTCAGTTTGACGCTTAGGGGGAATGTGGCGGCCCTGGGTGGGGGAAAGGAGAATGATGCCTTTAAAAGTCTTTAACAGTACTACTGTTTACCTTCTTCAAAGATGAGGATGTTGAGAGCTGACATCCTTCTCTTAATAGTGTGCAGGCTACTGGTGACTGTTGTCATCTGCTTAGTCGTGCTTTTTAATGAGTCAACTCTCCTTGCAGGAACTGCCTGTCATCTCCTTTGCAGCTAAGGCGTGACTTTCTTTGACTTAAAAAAAAACAACAAAAAAAGGTTATTTATATGGTTTACTATCATGACTAAAGATGAAATGTTTGTTTGTGTCTGTTCACACGTGTAATCATAAGATAAGGGCATTTGATTAAATTCCCTTCATCCACTTTTTGCGAAATTAATGGCAAATTGTTTATTTTGGATTTTCTAAATGTATTTTATATTAGTTAGATTCTTGATTTCAAGACTCGTATTATGCAATTTTTCACAATTTGAAATCGCTCCCAGGTGTCTTAATAAAAGGTCACAGTACACAAAGGATCACAAAACACAGCGCACTCCACTACTAGCTTTAAAACTTTAATTTCAATCCCTCGGTTTTTTTTAGGACTGATCTGTCTCAGCATTTGTTACCATGGTAACTGGGGGCGGAGCTACAGGCATGTGACAAAGCAAGCAGCCAAGCAAGAGATGTTCACCACTGACTAATTTAACCATAATGGCTGTTCGGTTTGGCTCATCTGTGCTTGCACTGCAGCTCTGCTTACCTTTTAGCTCTGTCATGAGAGTGCTTCCGTGAAGTCTGTCTGCCGGATTCCAGGCGTCGCTTGACAATGGTGACTCCAGGGCAGGTGTTGTGTAAAATGAGTGGACTTGTCAAGTCATAATTTGTCAAAATTCAGCATGGCTTGCTCACAGTCACGTTATCAAAACCAGACAGACAACCACATTTCACTTTAATTTCACATTTGATAGGAGGGCTGGCACTGTAGAGATTCAACTGTTTTGATGAAATCGATGCAAAGTCAATTCAACATCATCTGACCCCTTGAAAAACTCAAGCGTACCTCCATGTCCTTTTTGAGGCAGCAAACTAGCTGAGACTGAATTAAAGTTGGCTCTGTTGCAGCCGCGTGATGATAACCAGTCAGGAATTACAAAAGTCAGACGCTCCCTGTACACCTATTAACAATCGGCGCCACACAAGAATCCTTTATGATCAATTGATCGATTATTATGCCCATCTCTTGTCATTATAAAAAAGGCTATAATATCAATTTGTGTTTGTTCCCATAACCAAGTCTTCATCTACCATGAATAATGTCAAAACATATATGTATATTACAAACAGAGTGAGGCAGGCAGCATGTTCTCAAACAGCATCTGATTTGTTTATTTAGTCACCTTTCTTTTTTCTACGGCTTTTTTGTCTTCAGAACCATGAAGAGGCAAGTTTTGGGTTAATGGAGTAGTCTGTTTTTGGAACCTTTTTTTTTTTTTTTAATGCAACATTGCATCTTGGAGACATTTATATATAGACAATCCATACTATTTCTAAGGATTTTTACAGAGCACAATACAGAATCTGGTATGGGTAATAGGTATTTTTCTAACAATTTGCACACCTGTATTTTGACAGTGGCTATAACTTGTTTGTAATTGGTAACGTAATGCACATATTCTAATGTTTGACAGTGAGATGACAAAAAAATGAAGACATTTCTAACTCTATGTATCATTTGAGGACGCGAAAGGCGAATAGGTGTTTCCTTATGAGTATTTTTGGAAAATGTTGGAGACTTTTGAGACCTCAAGGCTCATGATTTGTGCAAAGTCTATGGAGAAGAATTTATGTGTATAACAATAAAAATGTTATGCCTTGGTCAATGTTTTTTTTGTCTGATATTTTATCTTTCATTGTGAAAGTGAAATTGCAATACTGTATAGATAGATAGATAGATAGATAGATAGATAGATAGATAGATAGATCAGGGAGATTACATCGTAATACATTGTATGCATAATACAAAGTATGTACTTGTCTTAATTAAAGAAAACATACAGATCAGTTTTACTTAAAAAAATAATTGTCGTTATTTTCATAATAAAAATGTACAACTATAAAAACAAAACGGAATATATGTCATTGGAAAATAGTGCTAATACATTTTGTGCTACAGTAATACACTGTTATCTACTCTGGCTATCTAAAGTGGAACTTTTTTATAACCACATTGTTTTCGATTGGCTGGAAGAGGTCACAAGGTTTGATTGTCTTGCAGTAAGGTGTGAGGCATCCATTTTGACTCGTTACCAACTCTGGTTCCTTTCCAAGTTTCCCCTCAAGGTTTGTGAAAACCAGCAGGAAAATGGCTTGCAACTGTTTCAAACATTTTGGATTCCATTCCAGTGTTCACTTGTGGGTCTCTCCTGTGTTGATAATGTGCGTGTACCCTCCGAGCAATGAAAACCCTCCCAGTGACCTTCCCATAATGAGGTCTCAAGGGAAGAAGCTGAAGCTTGTAATCAAAGTGTCTTTGTCAGGCTGTTGCATTCGCGGTGCGAGAACAGGCAGGTGCCTCCATTTCTCACTCTTTTCCGTTGCTGATTCTCCTGGGATTTGTGTGCTGTTTCATCTGCCGCCCTCCTTTGGACGTGATTCAATTGTATTCACGCTGCCTGCTTCTTTTTTTTTTTTTCTTGCAGTCATTCCCTGAACTGCCTGCTGGCATCGCATTGGCATAAAAAGCTGTCGCGTCATAAATTTTGTTTGACGAGATAACCGTAAACTGATAAGACTGTCTTCGTCCTCTCGAGAGTGTAAAACACAAATGTGACGCCCAGCTCGTCAGTAATGGTATTCAATATCGCTGTTGCTATTCTCATATGTGCGTGCAGGGCGCCCGCCAAGATTTAAGTGCACTCAGTGTACGAATATAAACTATGTGGGTCTTTAGTGTCATCAAAGAGGCCATTTAACACATTCCAATGACAGCTCATGTCACGGAGGGCAATCATCTATTTGTATTAGGCCAAGGCAGCATTTCTTGCCATTATCAATGAAGTTGATTTTTTTATTTAACATGAAGTTTTCAATAATGTAGTTTCTATTGTGCATGCAGGAAGTATTTGCAGCGCTTCACTTTTTCTACATTTTGTTGTCGACCCCCTGCCCGAGGTCAAGGGCGCACTGGAGTAAGTTTTTATCCAGAATGTCTCTCTTTCCCTCAATCCTGACCAGTCACCTACTTCCTGCGGTTAAAAGATGCCCCACCATGATGCTCCCACCACCTTGCTTCACCTTAGAGATGGCATTCACGTTGAGGAGTCTTATCTTTGTCTCATCAGAGAATTTTGTATCCAATTGTCTGAGAGACCTTTAGGTTCTGATGGGCAAACTCCAGGTGAGCTGCCATGTGCCTTTTACTGTACAGGCCTGCTTTGTGGATTGCAGCAGAGAGCGACATTTGTCCAAATCCTTGATGCCCCCCAAATCCGCCGCCCCCCGCGCCCCCACCAAATACTGTAAAAGCCTCACCGTGAAGAAACTTGCTTCTAAAACTGGACTGAGTCTCCTCAGCACCCTGGCATTTTTTTTTCCTTTTCTAAACTTGTGCTAAGCCATCAGTGTGAACTAGATCCAATTTCCGTGCCTTGCATAGCTAGTTTAGCTTAGCTTAGCTGTTAAATTTACATAGGCAAAGCTCGGTTATAAAACCCTAAGCCCACCAAAGGCATCTTGTTACCGCACCTGATCTGGGGGAAGTCCAAATTATTTCTTAAAGCACACAAATTTGTATTAAATATTTAACTTATGTGGCAAGGATTTCACCACAATAATACTGAGTGATTCCATAGTGTAAATGAAGTTGTAAACTTTGCTTTGGCCTGGCACTAATAATGCAAGGCGATTGTCACATCTGCTTATGCGTCATTTATGCCATTTAAAGCCAGATGAAATGTTAACTAAACTGTCAGTAAATAGATAGATAGATAGAAAACATTCAAATGGCACGCCACTCCGAATGGCTTCAGGCTCATAAAGTGATGGGGAAGGAGCCTCCAATTCATTGTGACAGGCCTTTGCCTATTTTAACTGAAGAAATGCACACAGACGTCCTCCCCCATCCATTCCTATATCACCACCAGACATTCTGACCTGGTTTACAATGCACAAGGACCTGCAAAGAACTCATTGTGGCATTCATATTTGAGCCTAGAATGTAGTATGTGCTGGCCTTTGACTCATTCTCTCATGGTGTAATGAATAGAACATCAATAAAAATAAATATAGCAAAGGTAATATATAATTAGAATAAAGATGCCTCACACGACATGTATATGTACTCACAGTACACATAATTACATACATATACCTGTCATCACATTTCATCAGGATATTGTATAAAGCCATTTTTAAAACATTGATTGCTTAAAAACGTACGATATAATCCTGACACTCTAATCATGGAGTCCTGAAAAGAAAGTGTGTTCATGGTGTCAATGGCAGGGAGAAGACCACTTGCCTTGGCATGACAAAAGATGGTGTATATTCTGCTTGCAAGTGCATGTGTAAACTGGTGTGTTGGTGTGTCAAGGAAGCTTCCCTAAAATAGACCATCGAGCAGCTGCAGTGGGGCGGGGTCATATCAGAGATACATGAAAGAGGCCGCCGCCACCCGCCTGCCCTGATCAGAAGCACTAATGGTGTAATGGGGTGGACTGGAAGGTCACTGATTGCTTTCACTGTGTGTATGTGTGTGTGTGTGTGTGTGTGTGTGTGTGTGTGTGTGTGTGTGTGTGTGTGTGTGTGTGTGTGCGCGCGCGCGTGCGTGTGTGTGTGCTCCAACAGAACTTTCTGGAACACAGTGAAAGCCAGGCCTTACTATATAACAAATACCAGGTCAGCGGCGTCACTTCTGCAGTATCCTTTATTTATTTTGAATTAACATTGCTTTATTTTTGCTCCACTAAGACACACCACACCCACTCTATGGATGATCGTCAGTGTTATAGCTCCCGGTTGCCTCACATTTCACCAGTCATCATTTTTTGGGCATGCAGCGACGCCAGTCAATGTCACATTCTGAACCTGACCGTGACTATCAACCCACCTCTCAACTGTCTGATCTATGATCACATGAGCATCAAATATCAAAAATGTGTAGCTTTGCACTGCCAAGCATAAGGGTGTTCTCACATCACACCTAAAAGTTTGGCATCAATGGAAGAAGTGGTTGTTTTGGAAGGGGAAAATGCATGACAGTACAGTGTGCATGCTTCCTAACTCACACATTCTATCTTGAATGTAGATTTATGGTCCCGCAAAATGTCACTGTCACATTCACTGAGCACCTGCTCTCTCTCATCACAGCCAGAGAGCGTGGGGCTGGGGTTTGGGAGGGGGCGGGGGTTGATTCTGCTACACACACGACACCTCCAGGATAAAAATTGCAATTTCAATTCCCATCTGAAATATGAATATTTCAATCGTGTAAAATGGGTCCCATCTGTATGGGGAGAAATGTGTCAAAAATATTCACACAAATATATTCGTGATTTTCACGCGTTTTTTTTTTAGATACACACATGTATGCATTTATATATATATATTTTTTTTTGATTGTAGCGTGAGCTTTTACCATGACTTCTCGTTTGTAAATATTCAATTCTGCTTGCGAATCGTTGTATGTGCGTTTGTGGTTAAGTGGGCATACACTTTTGTTTTTGAGACAAACGTCACGCAGTTTGAGGACAGTACTCACACGGCAGCTCAAAACAGTCACGCGTTGAAAGGCCATCCCTCTTCCATCCGCTAAGAGGCAGCGTTGCTGTCTTCATTGAACGGGTATAAGTAGAAGAAGAAGAAATGCTGTCTGTGACACCTTCCGGGAATCCAAAAATCAGATTACAGGTACAGTACTCGATTTTTCATTACTCGTTGCAGACAATGAAGGAGAAAGTAAAGCTGTATTCAATTGTGGTTTTTGTATATCAAAACGAATAGGCTGTAGTAATAATAATAATAATAATAATAATAATAATAATAATAATGAGATGTTGGAAAAACGTCCGTCCAAAACAATACCTCAAGATCCATGCACCTTACATGTTAGTTATTGTTATGCTTTCGTTACTTGTCCTATTGTGCCTGTGAACTTTATTTACTCTTGACTGTTTATGTCTCGTCTTCTTATTTTTGCGGGTTGTCTCCACCTGAAAGTGCGAGGAACGTAATTTCGATTATTTTATGTCTAGCACGTTAAGAAATTGACAATAACGCTGACTGACTCTCCAAATCGCGGAAATATTTGTGGATTTGAAAAACACGTGATAATCACGAAAACATTATTGTGAATAATTATGAAATGAATCTATCCCCATATTTCTGGAGATTCATAATGTAATGCAAATGCTCTACTGACGATTACCAACAGAGTCGTTCAAAGATTACGCGTGTCGTCAACGTCACGATTTGAAAGTTTCTGTTCAAATTAATCATGGCTGTATTCACTTCATCCGCACGGGAAACTCGATGAACTAAAGGAGGTAATTACTGCATCTTCTCGCGTTTTTTTTTCCAGTTTGTTTTATTATTGCTTTTATTATTTGGGGTGGGGGGAATAGGAAGTATTTCGGCGGCATTTTCGTTAGTATTTTGAAGTATGTCATTGCTACATATATTACGAGTGGAATTCTTATTTCTCGTGTGACACGCCGACTCGCAACAGCATTTCCAGTCCACTAAACCAAAGTATATGCGCTGCAAAAAAAAAAAAATAATTAAAGTGTGAAGAAGGAACACTTTCGTTTTCACAGAAGCACCACGGAATATTTTAACTCGCGTAATCCTGAAACGATTTCCGGTTGTCAACATCCCGGCTGTTAAAGTTAGCGAAAGCACTATTGCCACTCCACGGTCTACCGACAAGTGGTAAGCTTTATTTATGTGTTTTAGTTATTTACTTATTGTTTTGTGTATGTTAAGGTCACGATGATCTTTTGAGCTTTAAAAGACTTCTCGCAAATGTTTTCGTATAGGGTAAGGTCGAGTTGTCCCGGCATTAGCATGAAACAGTTTAGCATGAGACAGCTAACACGAACTGCGGGGAACTCGGTTGGAGATTTTAGTCGTAGTTCCAAACATAGAACACTCTTTTAACGTCGTTTCGTTAGGTCGCCAAATTCCGGTTTGAATAAATGTGTCGGTTTCAAGCGATGGTTGTCCAACATTTAATTAAAGGGCCCGTAATGGATTCAGCAGTTCGGCACACATCGCCGCTCCAGTTTCATTACTCCTTGAGAATGTGCAAATATGTTTCTATCAACTTGTATGCCGTTTTCTTTGTCTTTGTTAGGAATAGACCCCCTGCATCGGCATGGGTGAGTTTATCATGTTTTCTTGACGATATATCGAAATGGTCCCATCTGTTCAGGACACTGTGTGCATACAACACTATCAGCATAAGTATGTGGTTTACAGCTGTCAGAAACTGTGCCCGTGTCTCATAGATGGCGAAGAAAGGACCTATGGTGGCTGTGAAGGACCAGAAGCCATGTATGTGAAATTGATATCTTCAGATGGCCATGAGTTCATTGTGAAAAGAGAACATGCATTGACATCGGGTACTATCAAGGCTATGCTGAGTGGTCCAGGTGAGGATTCAGATGATGTGTGCCATGTCGTTCTATAGGCGTTGCGATTTGCTGGCAACTGGTCCAGGGTGTACCCTGCCTCTTACCCAAATTCAGCTGCGGTAGCCTCACTTATGACCCTAATGACGAAAGCTCGAATAGACAAAAACAGGTGCGGCCACTTGGTGGCTGTAGTAAAACTCTAACATCTCAGTGTTGCAACAGCATTGCCACAACACACACCGCTTGCAGAGGAAAGTTTGTTAAGTAATTCATTCACGTGGGGTAGGGACCCTTTTTATTTTTTAACCCCAAAAATCTCAGAAAAACATTTCTCTTTGTGGAATAAGTGCCTCCAAATAGTATTGTAAATACCGTCATCTCATAATGCACCTTGAAATCATAAGTTAAATCATAAGAGCTGTCTGTGTACCTAGTCGCGCGGTAGAAAATAAATTACATTGACCCCACTAGCAATATGTTGTTGAAATATTTTAATGTATTTAATGTTTTAATGATTTTTTACAATTGACTTCTCTGTTGTTTATCTTTGACAACTTTGGAGCTCATCATGAATATCTTTCTCTCCCCTTTATGTAGGTCAGTTTGCCGAGAATGAAACCAACGAAGTCAACTTCAGGGAGATTCCCTCTCATGTCCTGTCCAAGGTCTGCATGTACTTCACTTACAAGGTCCGCTACACCAACAGCTCCACGGAAATCCCTGAATTCCCCATCGCTCCCGAGATTGCACTGGAACTGCTCATGGCGGCTAACTTCCTGGATTGCTAAAGTTACTGTTTATGCAGTAGCCTAGAAATGCTTTTAGATGCTTTTGACTATTTAACTTGTTTTGCCATAAAACCATGTAAAACATTGATTTTTGCATCAGAATATCAATCATTGTTTTGAGTATTAAAGGATTTCATTTTAATTTAATGTATGAATTCGGCAGACTGTGTTTATTTCGATAATGTGACAGACGTGTCTGTTCTACCCACAATCTTCCCTACCCTCTGTCTTAGTAAACAGCTGTTTGAACTGAGTGTCAAGCATTTGTCTCTTTGTACTTGTTTGATGGTCAAATGTGCTGCTCAAATGTGCCGCATGAGCTACAACAAAATTCTGCCATTTGGAATATACAATCAAATGTGAAATTGAAATGTTGTAGATTGAATATGGACCACATTTCTTTTTGACATGTAGAGGGCAGAGTTGTCTTTTTTTTAAAGTGACAGACTATAATACAATCAGGCAATCCACTTTACATGCTTTGCATGCACACGCAACAATAAAACAAAGAATAAAATACATAATTTCAGATAAAAGAATAATCAAAGAATGGATAGAAAAGGTCAGATTAATAATACTAAGTCATATTTCAAACAAGGATATCTGAGTTACTATTTACATTTCTGAATGAATAGCAATTATCGATCTAGATTTATTTGGTATTCCAGAAAGACACTTAAAATAAATCTCTCAAAATAATGGGAATGAGTTTTGAAATGTACATTTATCAATGTGAAACTTTCCTGACGAAACCTAGCACTTAACATCAGAATAACTGAGGAGTTGACCATGAAATAAATCCTTCAGGAAAACAATGTTTTTATCAATCCAATTTTGTTAAGATAGTGATTTATTCCTTTTAAGAATACAATCATTGTTCCAAATAACAGATGTATGTGGAGGAAATATATTTTTGCTAGGGCAAATTGTGCCCGTCACGTGTCCCCGTGACGTCATCCTCCCCAGCACTGTGAGCTTACTGGTGCGTGGGGGCTGGAGGGGGTTCCATCATGGCGTCGATGCAGGTAAGAGCACAAATGACAGCGGCCCCAACTTCATCGTGTACCTGCTTTTGTCGACACTCTTTGGGCCTTTTTTGTTTACCGCGTCATGACCAAAACACGGCTTTTAAATGAAGTGACGATGACGTCAATGTAAATGCGCTGACACATTTTGACTTCAACTGTTTTAAGTCCGGCGCTCGGCTTGTGTTAGCATAACTAACGTTAGCACATCATCATCAACAGCGGCACCAAGTGAAGGCGAGCGCAGAAACCAGTTAGCCCGGGCCAAAATACCCACGCTCTGCCATGTAGTTTTGCGACTAACACTCTGATACCACAACTCGTATGATGTAACGAGTTCAGATTTAAGGTTCGTCCAGTTAAACGACGGCCGAACGTTTGCCGTTCGGCTGAGTTAGCTTGTCAGGCGGTGCGCAGGTTGACCTGTTCTAGTTTCCTCTTGAGCTGAACAGGTGCATCGCTTCCAAAGGAAAACTACACAAGAGTGGGCCATTAAAGGAAACAACCGAATAAACACCAGGACACACCGATTGACGATGCTTGTATGTGTGGGATCTCCAACTTGAACATATCTGTTTCTATTTCAAAGCCACCTCTTGAAAATCTTCGTCAGTTGTCCAAATTTTAAGGGGCAGTGGCGTGGGAGAAACCTGGTCAATGCACATTTAAGTATTGCGGCTCATAAATATTGTAGATTCATCTCACATTCATTTACTAATACCTTAAGCGGGACTCTTGATTTGATTTTGTTTAAAATACTGTGTGAGGGCAGTATCGATTTTCTGTATTTTGGAAATGATGCATTTTTTTTCATATACAGAAACGGCTACAAAAGGAATTATTAGCCCTGCAAAATGATCCACCCCCTGGAATGACGCTGAATGAAAAAAGTGTACAGAACACCATAACTCAGTGAGTATTCTTGTTTTGTTATTTTTTGCACCCTCATTTTTCCGTAGCCCTAGCACATGTCCTTCCTTTGAATCCAAGTCATGCAAATTATAAGTGGGAATATGAAGTCATTTTATATTCTCAGCTGGAAGCAATGGGGTCATTCCAGCGAATTACAGGATTGTGCCCACTCTTGAGTGACTTGTGCAATATTCCTGTCCTAACTTTGAAATATTGAACGTAGTTGAGCTGTTATAGCAAGGAACTAGTGCTACTTGGCTGAATTCGCCATCTAAATGTAAAGTAGTGTTTGAAAGCCTTCAGTTTTACATTTCCTCAAGCATTGATACACTGTAATGTCATTGTGTCAGCTTTCAAGGAAATGCTTCAACTTTATTCCGTGGTCAGACTGAAAAAGTGTTTTGTGTTTTTGTCTGACAGACAAGTATTCCAACCAGTTCGGCTGGCTTCTGCATTGAATGTGCACATTAGAGTTGCGATGCTTTGAATGGGTGTGCCTTTTAACTTCAACCATTATAATGAGCAGCTTCTGAAGAGCTGCGGGTTGACATTGAATGAATTTCCGCCGTTTGCATCAAAAGTCCCCATGGAGTCATGCAAAAAAAAAAAAAAAATGAAGGTTTCGCTTCGAAAAGCAAACATTGAAGATTGCATACTTGGTGGTTTTGTGTGTGACTGAGATAAGGTGCCCATTTGTTTTTGTCTGTTTACAGTGTATAGCACACACTGGTTACTGTTAACAGTATGATAGAGCAGATGGTTTGACTTTTGAAAATTATGTTAGGAGTCAAGTAGTTCAAACAAGGCACTCCAATGTCAAATATATCCTCATCTGGCATATGGTTCACTGGACTGGCACAGATAACTAAGGTCGATGGAAGCATGCCTAATGTAAATGTACAGTGGAAATAATCGTGTTGAATGTTCCTCTCCAAAACTTGTACAGCAGTTGGTGCATTTGTCAGTATTTGGCTACTGTTGCCAGTATTCGATGCAGTTCCTTTGTACACAGCTACTGTCTTCTTCTAATTCTTTCTAATTGAGGCATTTTTGTGAATTTTTGCTTTGACTTTTCTGACGTTCACTGTTGCTTGAAAACATCGCCTGCACAGTCAATAAAGATCTGGTGATGGTAACAGTTTGTGCATTGGAACAAATTATTGATCTGAATGGGATTTTCTTTTTTTTTTGAGTGAGGTGGGGGGGGGGGGTTTACCAGCAAATTGTGGCTGAGCTACACAATACCGCTGTACTTCCTGAAGCCATTTTCAAACCCTGAAGTGTAAACATCAGACCTTCTCAGAGTAAAGCACTGACCTGATTGTCATATGGCCCGAATGATTGTGCACACCAGGAATGAGCAGAAAGCTCCCCAAGGCTGTAACGCAAAGCCACAAGTTCCTGACGTTCTGTCAGCTTCACTCACTGGGAGAAATTAGGCCAGCGATTATGATGCTTCTATCAACGACCCCTTTTTCTTATCCTTGAAGCTTTAATACTTACAAGCAGGCAATTCTGATTCGTGTTATGTGATGAACTCATTTAAAGGCATTCAGTCATCATGATTAACACATTTAGTTCATCGGTGCTGTACACGTGGAGTACGATTTGAGGAAATAGTGTGTTGTATTCACCGTGTTTCTGTAACGTGATGCTTTTCTTCAGGTGGATCGTTGACATGGAGGGGGCCCCCGGCACACTGTACGAAGGAGAAAAATTTCAACTGCTCTTCAAATTTAGTAGTCGATATCCTTTCGATTCACCTCAGGTAAGCGCTGGGCGACCACATGGTTCAAACAAACTCGAGTCGTCTGAGAGTTTTTGACAAGGTCGGAATTGAGCATCACATAGCAGCACGTCTTGCTGGTTTGAAGGCCAACTCACCGGGCGGGGTTCTTCTGACTGCCATTCCGCCCCCCAAATTGGAAATGTGTATATCGTCTCAGATGTTGCTTTTTTGTGTGCTGCACCTTTGGGATTATTTGACGCAAAGTAACTGATGTGTCATTGTTCCAGGTAATGTTCACAGGGGACAATGTACCTGTCCACCCTCATGTGTATAGCAACGGTCACATCTGTCTATCCATCCTGACGGAAGACTGGTCACCAGCCCTCTCAGTGCAATCTGTTTGTCTTAGCATTATTAGCATGTTGTCCAGTTGCAAAGAAAAGGTAAGAACTTTTGGGAAGGAGGGTACCCACTGTGCCGTATTAGCTTTTTAGCTTCAAATTCCATATGATGGACAAAGCGGTCAATTCATTCTGCCCGTTGTTAGTCGTACTTGATTAAATTGATGAGTTGTGAAGTCAAGCTGTAGCATACAGCCATGTCTTTTTCTGATTGTTTTTTGTCCCGCAGAGACGACCACCTGACAATTCCTTTTATGTAAGAACATGTAACAAAAATCCAAAGAAGACAAAATGGTGGTATCACGGTGAGTACTTTCCCAAGGATGATAAATTGAAAGCCACCGCCGATGTCTTTTTTAATCAGTGTTCGTCATTGTCTTCACAGATGATACTTGCTAATGTACAAAAGGTTTGTAATAATCACAGAAGAAAAGTCCTACTGACCTACGTAAAGCACTTTTTAATCATTCAGTCTCTGAACTCTGACCTTTGACTGGAACGATGGACAGACACCAATGCGCTGGAGGCTCCAGACTGCATATCCCCCCCACCCCACCCGCCGGGCAGTTTCATGCATGTTTTAGTTGGTAATAACAAGAATGGAAAACCGTTGGAGCCATTTAGATGCACTCGAAATGGATATTTTTTTTTGGGCGGGGGCTGAACGATAGTAATGCAGTATGCAAGGTGTATTTTTGTGTATTTCCTGTTTTAAAAATGATTATTGTTACATTTTTGCGTGTGTGTGCGGACTTAAAGGTCCTTGTGTTGTGCAATAATAACCAACCGATGGACGCATTCTTGGGCTGACAAAGGAGTTCTCCAAAAGGATTTCTGGAAGGGACCTGACCATCATAAGCCCATGAAAATGCTTCATTTTTTTTTTTTTTTTTAATATATATACATTATATGCACTGTGAGAGTACGTAGTTAAGAGGCACTGTCAGTACATCATTCCCAACACCGTGAGCAGCCCCCCCACTCATACGTATAAGTTAAAGCGTCAACACAATGCCCATTCCCGTGGAGACCGGTGCGGCCGGTACACGTGGCAACAAAACAAGTGTGGCATTAGGTCAAATTTGAAGCTGTCAAACTTTAGCTTGACGTGTCCAGCCTCAGCAATGAGCAGGGCCCTTTTTCACTTAAAGAATGTCTGTTGTGTTTTTCTTTTAAAGGTTTTTCATGCTTCGATAATGTCTAGTTCTTTTTGTACTGTTTTGGGAGTGGGCTGCTTGGAACTCTGAGTACATTTTTTTTTCATTGTGATATATATTTTTATTCACACAAAGGCAGAGAATGGGGGGAGTCAATGCAGGCGTAATAACATGATGGCTTTGTGATTATGCCTGGTCAGCGTTATGGCTCAGGTACTTTTTTCCAATAAAGATACCTATCCAGATGTTTAAACTATATTTTCACCAAAAGAGACTTATATTGTAAAACTAACATGTCTGGAGCTATTGTATATAATAGGGCTTTACTTGGGGGGAGAAGGATATTAGGGGAGATGGGTTTACGGATTTACTTCATTTACTTCATAGTGTAGTGATAATAGGAGTTGGCCTATAATGTAGACCTAATTAGGATGTGTACAGTCAGCATCAATGAATGCCATAAAGATTTCGTTCACCTGAGGGGCTTGGTCATTCCAAGTGTAATCACTATTCCTCAAGAATCCAATATGATACTTGAATTTTCCATCTTGCTTTGTTTTGTCTTGCATTTGCCTCTCCCCCCCACAGGCTTTACTTGTTTGTCTTGAGTGATGTGAATGAGATGGCACTCTTCTGATCTAGAGATCACAGTACACTGCTACGGTATGTTATTTTAAATGTTCTCATCCACTCTCAGACATGATGGTACCCAAATGATTGTGTTAACGAAGCAGCCATAACAGGATTTGTGAGGGAATTTAGCAAAAGTCTTCACAGAAAAGCTATTTCTAACTTGCAGTTGAATACTTGGGGCATTGTTATTTTTTTTTTCAATGTGCTTTGAACTTCCAAGTTGCAGATTTTATTTCATTGTTTGAGTGGAAAAAATAAGGGTTTCATATTTATTTTTAAAAAAACTAGTTCTGGGCTGTTCAAGCTCTATGTAATAGGTGCCTATTCATTTTCATAATCGATAATAAAAGCGAAGATTCACTTTTAACTGGTGAGCACGATCTGTGAAATAATGGTGCTTTTACCTGCAACCGTGCCTTAAAAAACCCAAACAAACGTAGTTTCATGGCGAAAGCAGCATTTAATCCGCACCAATGAACCGAGTTTTATCAACACCTCGCTTGATAGTTGTCATGGTAACGTTTACCCGCTCCCTGACTTCAGCATCCTTGAACGTTAGCAACACTGACAATCAGGTATGAAATAATATAATAGAAATAGTTAAGCGTGCAACATGCATGAGCTATAATGTACTTAAAATTTGAATGCACTCAGGGCACGGCCGAAAAAAGTCAATCTTCCTAAATAGTCTTTTTTTCAGTTTTAAGCGACGGTATTTGGACAACATATTTGAGCATTCGCAAACTTCAAAAGAAGTATTTTTACATTCGTACACTTAATTTACAGTAAATTGTAGAAATAAAATCAGAATGGACGTTGCTAAAGACGGAAAACTAGGACTGAACCATTCGTTCATCACGGGGGTGTCCAATGTATTCCCGGTTTGCCTAAATCTTTTACGACGTTATAGAGGCAATATAAAACGTTCAATGTCATCGCTATACACAAGACGCTGTCTGGGTACACGCTTAAATATGAATAATTTGTATTTCCCAATGGTTTGGTTTACTTTCATTTTCATGACCCACGCTTATTAAATGGTATGTTTCAACTGCTTCCAGTTCTCTTTAGTGTTTGCCAATGTTGGAGGTGTAACTGGGGTCTGGCCCTGAACAAAGGTAAAAAAAATGCACATGCATATTTGTCGTTTTGCTTTAAGTTGTCTTTAGTTTATTTGCCATGCTGCTGTCACTTCGCTTGCGTTGTCGATGTGCAGTGAAAGAGCCGTGACTTTCGTGGTAGATGGAGCACTATGGTGATGCTAACAAGAGGGCTGCACGGCCGACCTGCCATCATGAGCTTGAAAGCAGCTGAAGCAAAGATAACATGACATTATATTGCTTAATCAGAGATCGTGACCAATCGCCGACTCCATAATCGTCCTGGAGTCCTTGCGCATCACGAGCGTTTGTTTTGGGAAGCTGCCACGCAGAGGAACGGTTGATTTTGATTTTGCTTGGCAACGTTAGCTTTCTGCTAAAGTGGACACAGTCCGAGCCTTCACAGAATACTGTTGGGGTCGTAGACATCCTGCAACCTAACACTCATTCTCCACATTTGAGGCAAGAACCGATGTGATTACGAGTGGTTGCTTCCCTTTCTAATTGTGCATAACGGAAGATCAGGGAAATGCGTCGCCGTGATAACGCAATGAATTGCTGGAAAGCAAAAATTCGAAATGTCATTTTGTTCAGTGCAACTTTTCCAGCCATGATACTGCCTACATCTTCACTTGATTTCCTAACTAATGCATTTATGTGTAATAATTCTCAGATTCGAAACAACTTAATAATGTAGTATTTGTTGCAGGGAAAAAAAAACATTCGGAATAATAATTGGCCTACGTTTACACAAGCCAGTAAGTGTACTTGTCTATGGCTGATATGTGTGATTGAAGATGCGGTGAAACACCTGAACGCAACAGATCCAAGAACGAGCATGCAGCGGTACATTGGGTTTTCTGCACACCCGCTGGCTTCCGTTTTAGTGTCTGACCTCTTGTTCTGATTTACGGATTTGCTCATTTATCTAACCTGGAAAAATTTGTGAAATATTGGCAGTCTGTGGGAAAATATGACTGAAATTATTTGTTTAATGGTTGCGCTATTCTGAAATGGTTTTATTAAAAATAAAATACGTGCTTTGCCTCTTGTTTCATTTAAATAATTTTGAACACATCTTTTTTTTTTAACTGTGGAATGTTTGATCTCTGGCTTAATGGAGAGAGAACAGGAAGTTGTTTGCCAAAGTATGCTGTCACAAAGTGGTGTCTCATCCACTGCTCAAAATAAAAGGGTCGTCAGCACGGAACATAAGGAAACCTCTTCAGCTTTGTCGTTTTTTTCCCGGTATTTATTTTTTAGGGCATGCTCAACGTGGCATCCGTTAGATAAAATAAATATGCATATGTAAATGATTTGTAAATATTTGTATTGCTCTTATGGTAGTGAGCACCAAAATGCTTACCCATGTCACAATAAATTCTGCCATTCAGGATCCCCCCCCCCCCCCCCCCCCCCCAAAAAAAAGCTCTTATGGTAGTGGGCACCAAAATGCTTTCCCATGTCACAATAAATTCTGCCCTTCAGGGTCCCCCCCCCCCCCTCCCTTTACCAGCTGAGCTTAGCAGCAGTAACATGAGCAAAGATCCTTCGTATAAAGCTTCATTGTCTGTGTGCGATGGCTCCTGGGGCATCAGAATGGGTGTTACGCTTAGCGCCTCTCAATTTAAAGTTTGAGTTACTTTTTGCTTAAATACTGCACTTTGGTTAAGTGCTTTGAATGCTTGCAATTTCCCCAGAGATGTATGACCCAGTGGAACATCAGGGGCCAAACGTCATCTGTTTCAGGGTGCCCATTTGGATTCTCAGAGGAAATGATGGAAATAATCTGCTCCAAGGGTCAATCTATCACCCACATTCATCTTGTATTCATCGTGCAATGTTTTAAATAACGATGCCGGTCTTTTTTCAGGAATAGAGCATGGCTCAAGTAAAAGTACAGACCTCAGCACCCCAGGCTGGCCCCGGCCTCTCCTCCGGAAGTCCTCTGGCGGCCATGGCCAGCCCAGGATCCCTGGGTCTGCAACCCTCTGTCAACGGCACAGGCCCGTCCCCCACACCCGCCTGCCCCGCTCCTGCAGCTGGCTATGGGGACGCACCTGTGTCTGCCACACCGCCAGGTAGGGATGGGCCAGTACCGATACCAGGTCTCGGGAGCTGTCTCACACCTGTCTTTGCGCGATCCAGTATTCCGTGGTGTGTTTCTCTGTGTACAGGTTCACCCGAGGAGAACATGGCAAACCCTAAAGAGAAAACTCCAATGTGTTTGGTGAATGAGTTAGCCCGTTTCAATCGGATCCAGCCGCAGTACAAGCTCCTCAATGAGAGGGGCCCTGCACACGCTAAGGTGAGGACAGGACTTTTATTCTCGTGAATCTCTGTATGATTACTAGCATTCATAATTATGTCGAAAATTCCACCAACCGTGTCAGTTGAATGGCTGCGCTCCTTCGCTTTTGATCCAAGAGTGATCATGACATGTCATTGCCTCCGGATGTCGCTGTTGCAGATCTTCACAGTGCAGTTGACTCTTGGGGAGCAGGTCTGGGAGGCCGAGGGCTCCAGCATTAAAAAGGCCCAGCATTCCACAGCCTCCAAAGCTCTGGAAGAGAGTGTCCTTCCCAGGCCGATGCCCCGCTCACCTAAGGTGGACATTAACAGCAATCCAGGTACGGTCAGTCAAGAGAAAATATCTCTGCTTGTGTTTTTTTTTTTGTTTGTTTTTTTTGAAGGATTACGTGAAAGAATCACTGACTTGCAGATCAAGATGGGTACAAGATGCAAAGCTTCTTGGGCCATACACCGTTTTTGCATGACAATGGTTATATGGTTAAAAAAAATTGTTGTAAATTTACAGATTATGAATAGAGTCCTAATATTAGATGACTAAAAAAATAATCAAAATTATCTCTTTTTTTAATCCATTGATCAGCCCCAAAATTACTGTGAAGATACTGTGAAGCCATTACTCACCGTCGTCTTTATCCTTGCTCATCATCCTCTGAATGAATGAATTTTGACATTTTCCCTCTTATTTTTATTGGGATGAATCTTTGATTGCTCATTGTGTAATCTTGTCCTGATTGTTCCACATGTACGTCCTCACACAGGCAGTATAACACCCACAGTGGAACTCAACGGTTTGGCTATGAAGAGAGGCGAGCCGGCTATCTACAGGCCTTTAGATCCCAAGCCCATGCCCAACTACAGAGCTTGCTACAACTTCAGAGGCATGTTTAACCAAAGGTAAGCCACATTATGTTATTTCTGGGTTGGAGACAAACCTTGGACAGCACAAGGACAACAGTTGTGTGGTGGAGCCTCATTCATCTCGTCCCAGCTTGACCAGAGCTGGGGGTGCAAGGCACATGTTGACAAATAACCTGATGACAATTCTAGGTCGTGTTTTTGGAATGTGGGAGGGAAGCCAGTGTACTTGGGAAAGTCATATATTAACGTTTTAAAAAATGGATTTATAATATGACCATCTCGAGAGCATTTTTTGCCACCATTGACACGTTCCCTCCAGATGGCAGTGTTTCCTCATTTTTCAATTTTTGACTGGCTTCTGTTCAGCGGCCTGGACAGCCATTTTTTTGGCTTCTCAAGCCAGAAATGTAAATTTAGGGTTGACACAGTACGTCATGATTTGATTATGCAAACGTTTGAAAACAAAAATCCTGCGGTTCCTACTTTGGAGTGTATTTTTAAAATGTCCAAACAGCTCCTAGAATAAAGAGTGATTGAGTGGCATTGTTGGTTCAGCGAGTGTAGTCGTCAGCCAGGCAGTTTGGCATCTGGCGCACATCTTCTTTTTGATCGGCGCAGTCACAAACGGGACCGCAGACAAAAATGCCTGCGATGTTGGGGTGAAAATCTGGTCGCCAATGTTTTGTCTGTCGGCGTCACAGTGATGAGTTGAAATGCCGAAGGCGGGCAGCCTTCGGGTCTGTTTGCCTCTTTAGCGCCACTTTTTCATTGAGCCAGAGTGGCGCTGAGGAGATGCACGCAGGCTGGGGAAAAAAAAAAAAGTATCCCATTACCATAAGGTCATTTGTGGTTTCACAAGGTCCCTTTCTTTCAGTGGGATTAATGAAAGCGAGACCTTGTGAATATGAATTCTGCTCCTCCGATGACGGGCCTTGTGGCAGAAAGTGACAGGCCATAGCTGCCATCGGTCATGGTAATGACGCCGCGGTGAAACCGAGGTTTCCAGATGCCCATGTCCTTACCTTTTATGATGAATAAGAGTGATCTGGAACCATGTTGATGGAGAATCTTCTCATTAGAAGGGCAGTTTGGCTCTGATCCATCAGCGCTCTAATCACCACCAGGACCCATATTGATTGATTCAGAAAGTGCTTTGATGAGAAAATATGGTGAGAATATGTACAGAGCATTTATCAGCGTCTTCATGAATCTTATTTATGGCGAAGGGCCCGTGAATAATTTCTGACCATCCCCGTCCACTTTAAAATCAGCACTTGATCTTTTGCGGTGTCGTAACCGTCTCATTGTTCATTTTCAAATAGCGCACTGGCGAACATCGCCCTCGACGTGACGCTTATGCTACTTTGCAAGTGAGTCAACCGGTGTGGACATCCAGTCTCAATCAGCCATGAGAAAGAAAAAAAAAAAAATACGGTGACGTCAGCACGTTCTTGTGAATAATCTGTGAAAATCGTGTTATCATTGGAACACCCCAATTCGTATGAGTCAGTCGAGGCCAAGAGATCCCAAAATGACAATTTCATGTTTGACCGCAGAATCCAAAAAAGGGCCGCAAGGTGTGTGACCCGCTGGCATTGTCCTGAGCGTTACTCCATGGTCCCCCCCCACACACACACTTTTACATCAGTTGCGCTGCTCCCCTCTTTGCCCCATTTGGCGTTTTCTGTCAGAATTTGGAGTTGGCACAGGACTTTCTCCCCCCTTAGGAGCACAGCTGAGCAGCCTTTGACCACCCACCCTCTCCCACACCTAATTTGGTTTTGTCAGTAACATTTTGTCAGCTAGAGGAATGAACGTCTGGGGGTTCTCTGCCCTGTGACATTTCCTCGTGTGAACACGCTGATCTACTGAACGAGCCGTTACAGTTTTTTTGTTTTCATGCCAGAAAGCAAGGGGAAGCCAGTTTTCTTAACCCGGCGTGCGGCATTTTAATGTCTCAAATCTGGAATAAAAGGAGAAATGCGGTAGAACCTCACATGTCATGCGCATTCTGTTCCGGGCTACAGGTTGACATCTGACTCATATTTACATTTCAAAGCAATGTTTCCTGTTTGAAATAATAAAGAGAAGTTAAATGCACTAGCAGATCAAACTCTCATTGTTCTAAAAAAAATTAGTAAAAATAAGTCATTCACGATTAAGCTGTTACAAAACATCCGGTGTACAATATATTCTTTTTTTTTTTTTTTTTTTTAAATCATGTTCTTTTACAGCACTTGTTGAAGCTGGTCGTTGTGCTGTCGTCTCGTGTAACGTCGTGCATGAATGAACCTTTGCCTTTCAAAAATATGGTCAATCTCCCAAATATATCATTTCAGGGACATTTGAATAGCTTCCATGTTCATTGGAAAGAATGTTGACATTCATTTCCCAGAGGTCAAGGACGGTCCCTTTCTTTCAGTGGGACCGCATGATGCCCAGTTCAGATTTTTTTATTTTAATTTTTTTGTCAAATCCAATCTTTTTCTGTGCTCGTGCGCATTACAAATACAAATGCGATTTCGAAGGTGAACGGAACGCATCCATGATGTGACACGCGCAAAAATGGCATCACGTGGCGCAGTGTGTATAGATGGCTTTTGATGACGTGAAAAACTGGACGCGTTGGAGTTGCTCCAACGTGAACATAACCGTATTACTCTTGCTTCTTGAAAACATGTTTGGTTTATTCCTTTATTGTTGAGTCTCGACATTGATTAGAGACACAAAGTCAATGAAAGGAAAGCCTTCAAGTTGAGCTCTCGGTATGGCGCTGAGTGTTGAGTGAGGCGCACTGGACGCTTTTGTCAAGTCAATGATGCCTCAAGGTCACACTGTAGGTGCGTGCGTGCGTCTTCGTTGATGTAAGGAATACAAAGCTGCATTGCAGTGAATATTTTTTCTCCCCGTCATGCCTGCAGGGCTCAGACAACCGGCAAGTGCGCGCAGTCATCAAGTATGTTGGCCAGCCTTTGTTGACGTCGATACTGTCGGCGGAGCTCAATCTGCTCACGAGCACTTTCCTGTGTTCAGCCATTCCTGTCATGTCCTTCTCCATTCAAGGTGTCCGATATCTTCGGGGCTCCTCATCTAATACGCTTCCTTCCCGTCACTCGGGTTCTTCTTCTTCGCACAACCTTCATAGGTCCCTTGAAAGGCTTTATGGGAATCAATTACTCTATATTATTTCACTCCCATATATCCGAATAGTGTTGGTTTTTTTTGTTTTTGTTTTTGGTCCACCCTGGAGTTCCGCAAATGTGCAGTGTTGTGAAAGTTGCTCCGTTCTTAGTTTAAGATCACCAAGTAATTGCAGATGTCAGACAAAGATAACCTATGTGAACAAAAACTGCACTTCAAAACAAATCAAAGCGACCTGGCCCCGTTTCAAAAAGAACTTGCCTGAAATCAAGTGTTTTCGATTTAGAGAGCCAAAATAAACAAATACATAAACAAACAAACAAATGACTTCGTGACACTTTCCGGACTGGTCAATGTCACTTAGTTTATATCCCAATCGGTTGTTGAGTTTGTTTGGAGCGTGGCAATTTTGGAGCGCTTTTTGCAGTTTTCTTTTTGTCCCACAGGTTTTATTTTCGAATGATTTCTTGATTGAACTGGTCTGGAGGTAATCAGGCTCGGGTGTGGTAAATCCGTTCTTAGTTTAAGAACGGATTAAATAATTGCAGATGTCAGACAAAGATCACCCATGTGAACAAAAACTGCACTTCAAAACAAATCAAAGCGACCTGGCCCCGTTTCAAAAAGAACTTGCCTGAAATCAAGTGTTTTCTATTTAGAGAGCCAAAATAAATATACATAAATACATAAACAAACAAACAAATGACTTCGAGACACTTTCCGGACTGGTCAATGTCACTTCCTTTATTTCTCAATCGGTTGTTGAGTTTGTTTGGAGCGTGGCAATTTTGGAGCGCTTTTTGCAGTTTTCTTTTTGTCCCACAGGTTTTATTTTCGAATGATTTCTTGATTGAACTGGTCTGGAGGTAATCAGGCTCGGGTGTGGTAAATGGAAAATGAACTCGACTTTCCAGCAAATGCGATTAGCCACAGTTAATTCGTTACTAAACAAAGGGGCACGGAGAGGGGTAGTTACTTTTTCCACCAAGAGACTTTGAATTGTTCCTCCCCCATAAATAAAATCGTTTCTATGCTGATTTTAATGTTTACTGGGGTTATCATTGTCTGATATTTACACATATTTGATTATCTTAAAAAGTGAAGTGGAGAAAAGATGCAAAAAAAAAAAAAGTATTTGTGAAGGGGGCAAAAAACTGTTACATGGCTCTCTCGTCTTCCTTCCTTGCGTTGCTTTCACAGCTGATCCAAAACCAAAAGGGAGTTCCCAAAGACCGCAGGAAAAGGAGTTCGTGTTTGATTGTTATCTTTTTTTTTTAAGATAAACATCCCGGCATGTATTCATTGACTAGTAAATCAGATTGATGGCGTCGTGTATGACATAACGCACCTGACCAAAGTATGACGTCTTCAAATTGTACAAATGGGTTGAAACTCATAAAACAATATTGTATTTAAGAGCCGAGGCGTGGAGGCTTCTTCGGGATTCACGTCCAAAATAAACAAATATTTGGAAAGATTTGCGCTCGCTATCACTGCAGCCAGTCTCTTCTTTTCATGTCCATTGAGTTGAGAAGACTCGAGTTTCATGCTCATGTTTGCGTAAGTCGTCATGTCCCACGGCTCCACCTTTGCCTCGGTGTTTTCGGCGTGAAACGCATCGGATGATGGCAACTCACAGAGAGACAGAGCCAGAGAGTGTGCGAGGGAGCGAGCGAGCTGACGTCAGCTGAAGTTCCTTTCCTAATGACTCGTCTCTGTATGTTTGACAGCGTGAGGCCGACCTCCGCGCTGGAACGGTGCCGTTTCCCAGGCTGTTGGCCCACTCTGTGTCGCGGGGCTTTTGGTGGCCGCGCACTTGAACTTTGAAGATCAAGCGAGTCAAGCCAATGTTGCTCTTTGAACTTGGAATCGGCGGTGGAAAATCTGATCGCGCCGTCAAGAGCGTGCCACTGCGCCAGTGCGTTTGGTCCAATCCGACGCCGTTTGCGGTTTGTTTTGCCACTGTCAAAAGCTGTCGTTTTCCAATGTTAAACCCGAGGGGGAAGTTGGACAAACCAGCAGGATTCAAACGTGTTGCCTCCTGATCCCAAAGCCAAATCCTTGGGATTGCGTAGCCGAATGCTGCTTTTTGTGTCCGGTGATTGGTGGTCAACGAGAAACACCCCCCCGCCCCCCACCCTACACCCACCCGCCCTTGCAACTCTCGTAGAACAAACCCACCATTGCGAAAATGCATCGCCTTACGCCTCGGTCGGTGTTGTCGTCACGCCGCGCGCCTCCGCTACTAATTCCCGCTCACATTCGCATCAAGACTTTAATGGGAGGAAGCCAGTGTACCCGGAGGAAACCCGCATAAAAACAAAAGGCAAATAAGTTGCAGCTTGAAAGGCGTCATGAAGGCGTGACAACCCAAAAAAAAAAAAAGGGGGTCAATCTTAAAATGACACCGGGACGTTTCTTGTCCTTTTTGTCTTTTTCAACAAAGGAACTCATTTTCTGTCTTAATGACACTGAACATAAAACAGCAGGTCACAATGTAATACTTTTAATGAGGACAGCGGGGTCTGATTTTCGACCCATTTCCCAGCCAGCTCTTCCTCTTATCCAGCCAAGTTGGCACTAGAAGGGCACAGAGGTTCAGATAGATGGATAGATTCTTTTACGACTGTGTGACGATACGCATGGTTTTTCCACATACGTTGGAAAAATCCGATTGTCATCGGTATTTTTCGTTCTGTGCAATACCTGTTCTTAGTGAGCTCATCAAATGTTGTTTTCGAGCAGCTGGTTTTTACTTCCATGATGAATTATCCCATATGTATTTTTTTTTTCTTACCTAGTAACTCAACCCTTTTTGTTTTAACCCGTTCCCTCTGAGTAATACTATTGTAAATTTTTCATATTTGGAAGTGATACCCGATGCGTCAGCATGAGTCAGCCGTTACGAGGGCCCTGGGGTCACTTTATTGGGGGCTCTGATTTCTCCTGAGCCGAGCATGGAAGGAGGGCCCCCGAGACTGATTACAGTACTTGCGCGAGGGCGCTTTAATCTCATGTTCAAAATTGAAACCACAACAAGGCGGTGGAAACAACGGACGCTCTCAGCTTTTGACACTGGGATTGAAAGAAGCAACAAAGCCTCTCTGGTGGGCACTGTTTGGATGTGAAACGCCGTTTGTCGGTAAAGATGGCCCTATTAGAAGGCCGTCGATGACACGGCTGTCTGCAGGAGAGGAAGTGTATCGCAAGCGATGTGAGCGAGGGATTCAGCTCTCCGACCGCTACTAATGACTTTAATGATCACGTAGGAGTTGCTACGTGCCGTACGCGCACTTTTGAGGTTGAACAACTGACTAAAATCCCCAAAAGTGGGCGCTACACTTCAACAGATTATGCTTGCGCTCTTTACTACGTTCTTAACTAGCAGGTGAGGCATTTTGTGTTCCCTCACTCAAACCGACTGCACGCGCTGTTGGCAACAGGTATAAAAGGGAGGGAGAGTGTCGGATTAAAATCAGTCACTGCTGGCCATTTGCAGGGTTGCGTCTTTCTTTTTTTTTTTCCAAGAGTAAACAACCCCATTTTAGAGCATATTCTCACACACACACACACACACACACAAACAGGAAGATACCTTGTTCTTCAGATTTATAAATCCGAACCCAACATTTGTTTTTGTTGTTTGTTTGTTTTTCTTGACATGTTTTTGGCAATGACACATCATAATCAATTTTGTATATTAGCAGTTGCGTGAGGCAAAACGGGGGGAAAAAAAATCAATTAACGATGGACACGGAATGAAGTATGAGGGAAGGAGGGAGGGAATTAATTCAAGTACATGTCTGGCAAGAGATTGGAAGAAAGAGCAGCTGGAGGAAGAACAAGCCTTTCCAAGTTTTTCTTTTTTGGGAGGGGGCGGGGGGGGGGGTCGACAAAGGCTCTGTCACTCTTGCTGCTCTGGCTGTGTGGCGTTATGTTCATGTTTGTGCGCGACTGTCGTGAAAGCCTGTCCAACTGTTGGCCACTAGTCCGAATGGTGGTGCGAAGAAAGCCACCCCGCGTGTCATGTTGTTTTTCGTCTCTTTGGCCGGGCCACTCGATGTTCCTGAATACAAATGCTTTTCAATTCAAAAGCCGACGACAGACACGCGTGCATTTTCCATGAAAGGTGTTATACTCTCACGGTTTAGCATGTAACCTCCACCCGTGGCCTCCGCTGTAACAGATGCTTTGCCTTCATTTATAGCGGAGTGCAAATGCTGGGCTCACCTCAAATCGACACCTCATTTTCACCCTCCAAAAAATGTTGGAAACAAGTTGCTTTTAATAGGGACAACAAAAAAAAGACTCAGATTGGAGGCGGGTGTGAGGTGGGTTGGAGTCATCATCTACTAACTGTCTCCCAAAACAATTTCACCATCACCAAATGCACAAGAGGAATATTGACGGCGACATTATTGATGGCTATTGATGTTGAAAGATGACTCATCAAATCAGTCTGGCATTTCCGGATTGGTGAGAACGTGTGATGGTGATGATGGTGTTCACAAGTTTTATTTTCCGAATCAGGAAGGCAAGTTTGGCTTACCCGACAAAAAACGGCTTCCGGACTAAATGTCACCATGTCATTTGCAAGAGTAATTGCATGCTTGTATCTCTCACTTTCTATTCTGGCTGTTTGAGGGATCAAAGAGAGCAAAGTGTGTGTGTGTGTGTGTGTGTGTGTGTGTGTGTGTGTGTGTGTGTGTGTGTGTGTGTGTGTGTGTGTGTGTGTGTGTGTGTGTGTGTGTGTGTGTGTGTGTGAGTGCGAAATGCTGACATTATGAGTCATACCTTACATATGCATTCACACACGTCATCAACAGTTTTTTTTTTTCAATTATTATTTTAATTTATTTTCTTTCCTACAAACCATTTCCACACCCTCCCTTCAGGTGTCCTGGCCACATTCCCGCTTTGTAGTAATAATAATAATGCAAATAATAATTAACACGTCCATGCCGCGCGAGCCAGCAGGCACCGATGTGATCCGCTTGCCTTTCTTGCGCGGATGATTTTGCTGCGTGTACATGTGCTCTCCTGTGTTCTTGGCTCGCTCGCTTGCGACTTTCCCACGTTGCAGATTAGGGTCTCCCAGCGGCCTCCCCTCCACCCCAGCCTCTCGCTTTCTGTTTTCTTCTTCCCTTCCAGCGCTTCAGTCTCCTTTTGCGTTCTCCGTGTTATCCCTCGATCTCTCTCTCCCTCGCTCTCTCTGCACCTGTACTCCATGTTCCAGCCCCAGCTGCTCCCATCTCGGCGCGGCGCTGTTGGCCAGAGCCCATGTTGCACTTGGCATATCCTCTGAGACCCCGGGGGCTGATCTTGACGTGCGAGGGCCAGGCAAGCCCCCGCCCAGGGAAGGCTCCGGTGGCCTGGAGGAGCCGAGAGCAGATGCATGAGAAGGACGGCTGCGGGCTGAGGAAAGACCTCCTGCCAGTCAGAGAATAAAATGCCTTTCCAAGGCCCGCTGTGCAGGAGATTAGGGGAATACGTGAAGACACAGAACAGGGGGAGAAAAAAAAAGACATTTATGTTTTTCAGAATAACTTGTTAGTAAGAGAAGCAATATTATGATAGTCTGGAATCGACGATGTCGTTTTCTTTCTTTGTCATTAACTTTGACTGGATTTCCCTGCAATTGATGCTGCCGATTCATTCCACGTTCAGTGATGTCAAGCATAACATGACATCATCAAGCAAGCCGCAGCGGGGCACGAACACACGCCCAAACAGTTGTCGGCTTTTGAAAAATCCGGATGGTCTTTTTCCTCTTTGGCCTGAGCGGATGACGTCCATGATTGCTGAAAACAATTTGAAACGCGGACTCCTCAGACCATTGGGCCCTTTTCCACTTTGTGTCAGTCCATCTCAGATGAGCTCGGGATATTTCTGCGTGTGGTTGAAATATGGCCTTTGCTTTGCATGGTAGAGTTTTTGTGTGTGTGCCGCATATGGGACTCGTATGTTCTCATGAATTGAAGTGGACGTACTGGCGGAGAAGAAACCAGAAGACAGGGAAAAGGGATATTCCAAACTTTGGATTCCTCCCACCTCTTCTTAGCTTTCCCACTATTTCTCTCTCATTTCCCTCCATTCTGCAGACACCCCCCCCCACCCCCCATCCCCTTGACCCAGGAGGGGGCATCACCACATGGACTTGCAGACCGCTCTATCAATTTGTTGACGGCTCAGTCCCACTCTGTCAGGCCTCAATGAAAGAGAGCAAAATCTATGTTGAGGCTGAGAAGAAAGAGGAGAGAATATATGTGTGCCGGCGCTTTGTTTCGCAAGCCCAAACTCAGAAATAAAATACGACATTCGTTCGGTGATTGGCGAACAGGGTAACTGACTCTAATGTAGTGCATGACCTGTTTGTTTTTAGCAGTGTATTAAATGCTTTCGATTGTCTCATCACGTTCAAGCTTCGTTTTTGTTTGCCATGTGTTTTTTTTTTTTTTTTTTTTTTTTAGTTAAAGATGTTCTCTTTGGGTGACATAAACAACTCCTAATTGAATTTATTGTGCTCATGACGCCGCCGCCTCCTGTTTGTCTCTTTCCAGGTACCATTATCCCATTCCCAAGATCTTCTACGTCCAGCTCTCTGTGGGGAGTCACGAGTTTATCGGGGAGGGGCGCACTCGCCAAGCTGCCAGACACAACGCTGCCATGAAGGCCCTTCAAGCACTCCGCAATGAGCCCATCCCGGAACGACCACCGCAGGTGACCTCTCGCAAACAAGCATGCCCACCTCATACATTACTTTGATTTATTTCCTCGCATGAAACCGACATTTAAGATGAGCGGCCACAACATTGCTGTAGTCTAAAAAAAGAACTACTTTCCCTATTTTACAGCCACGTTTTAACACTGCTCTACTCCGTGGGCAGCGTTCTGTGTCTTTAGCGATTAATAAAATGAATACGTCACCGGCTTCCATCAGATTGAATCCAAATCCACCTCCATGCCAATTACTCTTAATGTGTAATGAATCTGGTTTTCGTTTGCAGCTGTCAGAATTAGTCGTTATCTTCTTTTTGTCTCTCGGTGTGTCTGTACCTTTCCCTGGTTTTCCTCGAGGCGCATTTGCCAGCCGTTATTGTCTCATACGGCAAATCGAATTACCCCAGATGCTCACAACCTGCTAATTGCCAGTAATTTGCTTTTGCTACGCTTTGCTTCTGTTATTTTGCCCGACCCGTTTTGTTGTTGCATCAATAAAGGAGCTTTTTTTTTGTTTGTTTGTTTTTGGCTTTGACTGAGTCTCGTTGCGCAATTTGTTGCACATTGTGCTTGTTTGCTAAATGCCTGTGATTCTGACTCCAAATAAAACATGACGAAATGTCGTCAGTAACTTCTCCATCCAGCACAAAATACCCTATTATAGTGTTGAAGACACCCCTCGAGCAACAATCAAAAGTATTTTTCCTGTTTCAAGTGTTCTTGAATGCATGGGTTTTTTTTTTTTAATTCAGTTTCACTAATTGAATTAGAAGGTTCAATCGCTGAATGAACCCCTTAAAGCTGCAATCCGTAGCCTTTCATTTGTTGGATGGCAGTGTAGTTCAGTAATCGTGGGAAGTATGTACCGCAGATCATCCTGATATGATGACAACGTCGACGACATGCATCCGTGTTGCCTCTCCCAATCGTTTCAAAAGATTTGTGGTAAGCCATTGCTCTTTGGAAGTTGGATCATTCGTGAAATCCAGTTGATTCTCAGTTCAAGTTGTCCTGGCAATGCAGGGACACTCACGGCTTGTCCGTGTTTTTATGCATCCACTTGGATCTGGAACGCCTTTTGTCTTTACTTGTATGTTGGACCAATTTACTTGATGATGTCCCTGAAATAAGACATGAACGAAAACCTTCCTTCCATCCATTTTCTGATCCGCTTCTCCTCACTGGAGCCCATCCCAGCTGTCTTGGGGCAGTGGCGGGGGACACCCTGAACTGGTTGCCGGCCAATCGCAGGGAACGAAAACCGCAAATGTTGAAATCTGCAGCACTGTCGTTACGACATCACGAAATCCCCTCATGAGACATTTGGGCTTGACTTTCTGTTACTGCGTTTTCCCCACAATTTGCTGATCTTAGGAGAAGCACTAAAGTTGAATCTATTTGTAATTTGTCATAGCAAGGTTGCCGGTCTGCGTGGTCATTCCTTGTGCGGACGCAGCCGATGACGCATGCGTCTATCATTATACTTATCGCAATTCTCTCAGCAGCGCAGATTTACGCATGAATCATATCAAAGTGCTTTGAATAGGGATGTATGACTCAAACGAATCCTTGTATCATAGCAAAACAGTCAGCACTCGCTGTCATTTTTCGGATCAATCAAAGGCCAGTTCATAAACGGTTCGCATCTTGTGATTTTGCCAAGTGTGATCTCCCACTAGTGACTCTGACCTGTCAAGCCATTTTCATTCGTTCCCATGTTAAATTCCAGCACGAAAGAATTTTGTTTGGATTGAGCTTTTGAGCTATCCAGCATTCATTCCCAGAAAAAAAAAAAATAAACATCATGCATTTGTTGGTTTGCAATTGACACTCAAGTGATGAACGGGAGTGTCCTGATTCGATTCCCATGGACTAACCTAATTGTTGACCAACTCGGGTTCTTGCGATCTAATTTCTGCTGGTTAAGAGAAAAATGTTCATTGGATTGAATTGGATTGGATACAACTTTATTGTCAAAATTCATGACGCTCACAGTGATTAATTTGTCTCGTGGGAATAAAGACTTGATAAAATAGTTCTGTAGTACGGTGCGTGCCTCACTTTCCAACAGCTTGGCTGACGTGCACCTCCTAAATTTGTCATTTTATGACATGGTTGGATACAGTTCTCAAACAGTCACGGACAATAATTTTTTTTAAGTGTCAGCATTTACTGGCGAATCATTTATTACATTTTCCGCCCCAAATATGAGATACGCTTATCAGTTGAGAGAAAACAAATAGTTCTGTATTTTTACAGCTTGAAACCATTGACGGTTTCCCGAAAAACCTCCATCCTATCTGTCCTCTGTCCATGCGCTTGGTTGGCATTGTCTCGTCGATGTCAACACAGACCACTCTTAAAAATGCTGTTTCCGAAACAAGTGTCTCAAATGCTCACACTATCTGACATCCTTTCTTGATCCTTTTTTTTTTTTGTTAGGACCCAGAAGAAAAGGTGGAAAGTGAGGAAGGCGCTGACGCCAGCAAGTCCGAGATCAGCCTGGTCTATGAAATTGCCCTGAAGAGGAACTTGAATGTCAACTTTGAGGTGAGAAGCCTCGACAGATTTTTTTTTTTTTTTTGAAAGTGACACATGTTCAGCCAACTGGGTTTCCAATGCCATGGAGGCCAATACTGTGAGATGTCACCTTTTGTCAGTGTCAGCAATTGTGAACCCAAAAATGACTTATTTCACTTATTTCCCATAAACAGGCTGTCGTCTGATAGAAATACTCAAATGGAGGATCCCCCCCCCCCCACCCCCCCAAAAAAAAAAGAAAGAAGACTCAGAAGTTGTTTTGGATGATCGTATTCTAATTTAAAGTGCATTTGTATTTTCTTTTTTGGGGGTGGCAAATGCTCTTGTTGTTAAGAATGTTGCGATTGCTGTTGACTCAGCTGATAAAATGCGTCCAGTATTCGAAGACGAATGTTTGAATTCGTCTGGATCGTGAATTGGCTTAAAATGGTGTCTGAAACTTATATTGAATTCACACTCGGCCTGTGTTGGATCACGATCGGTCTGGGGTGGAGTCCACCTTCCACCTCGAATCACCTGGCACCGGTTGCAGCCTTGATACGACCCTGAACCGGATAACGGCTCGGGATAACTGATGGGCAGTCGCTATGTCTTAACGAAGCGGATTGACGTAGACCTTTCCCAAGGTTTTGTGTCCCGTAGAGATTTTAAAGGGTTGCGCGCCCCATTTTTTTTTGTTTCCACGTTGTTGACTTTGACCGTGAGTTTTGTAAAAATCAATGATGACCCGCTTCGTCTGTTCTCTTTGGCTTTTCACCATATCTGGGCTGACGTCTCCAAGAATCTCTCCTTCGTCGCCCTTTCTTTCTCCTTCTCAACACTTCAAGGTGCCAAAAACAAGGGAGGCTCAGTTTATTCTGTGTGCCCCCTCCCTTCCGCCATTGAATCCTTCCTTTCCACTCCTCGGGCCATCACTCCCAAAAAAACACAAGAATGATACTTGTGAAAGCCACGGGTTTACTGTTTCAGTGAATGGGGGTGAGAGGAAATGGAGACAAGGATGGAAGGGAGCGACACATACAATTCTCCGTTGGCGTTGTTTGCTCATGACTTTACACAATTTTGGAAAATTATCTGGAAAGCTACCCATCTTTCCCGTGTACTCCCCCATTTTATTTTATTTTATTTTTTTTGGAAACGCGTTTGCTCATCAGACCGTGACATAGCCGTTCTTCCTGGAACGGCTATTAATACACGAGGATGGCTAAATCTGCGTTGGTGTGATTCATGAGCTGTCACGGTGTGAAATTAGGCTACTTTCGTTTTCATCCTCTCCCATTTCGATGCCTCGAGTAGCAGTTTTCAGCGTAGCGTTCCTGTCTCTCCCTTTGCTGGCGCTTCCTCATTTCAGTTGCCTGATGAGCAGTTCATCTTCGCTTTCTCTCCGTGTGGATTTCCTCCAACTTTCATATTGCGTTTCCTTTCCAACTTCAGATTTCTATGCTTGCTTGCCAACTCAATCATCTTCCTTCTCACAAGATATTGATGCGTGCCATCCAGTGACGGTCGTGTTGGTCTTGGTTTGCTCTGACTTTAAATGTGCCAGGGAATGTTGCTCCACGTTGGCGTCTGTCTTTGCGCATCGCTCGCACGACATTCATTTTCCTGTCTTGTAAAACAAAAGCCTAAGCTACTTTGAAGCAAACAGTGACTCTTTTTACTGATGAATGCATTCAACATGGAGTGTGGTTTTTTTTTTTGGGGGTTTTTTTAGTGTTCCACTCTAGTGTTTAGAAGTGTGCTTAACCTATTGAGGCGGCACATTTTGTTTTTCATCTATTCACAAAACTGTCCCGGTCATCTCTCAGGTTGAACACCTCTCACAGCAGTGCCCATGTTTTCACATCTCCGTCCTCCCCTCTCTGGGCCATGAAATTACCAATGAGTCACTGCGAGCGAGCGCCTGCTTTCCCATCCCTCCACGCCGATGAGGGTCGCGCCACCCTCCGAGCCAGTTGGCTCATTTAATCCTCCTGTCAGGCAATATCAAGCAGATGTCAGCATCAAAGAGGAACCAATCTATAAATCACAGCTTGTTTGTTGGATTGGAGGCTCCTCTTCCGAGGAGGGACACAAGAGTAGAGAGTCTGGGCCAAGAACCACCCATCTTATGAGAAGAGTACCCCCCCCCCTCCCCCCCAAGAGCTTGTCCGTCCTCCGGGCATCACACAAAAGAGCCTTTCTTCATTCCGCTGGACCCCTACCTTTTCTCTTAACTTTCTGCCTATCTATCTATTTCACTTCTAGTGTACCTGAGGCCCTCGGACAGGTCATGTTGATGAGGAAAGTATTACTGGAACATATTTTGGCATCACTCCTTTTTTTTTTTTTTTTTTTTCGAAATCAAAGCATTGATGATTTTTGTTTTTCCTCATTGCAAATCTAAACTCTGTTGTAATTGTTTATTTCCTTGGGTAGCTTCCCATCGTGTTCAGTGACACAAGTTGCAAGGCTGCGTATGTTTTAAGGCAGCCGGTGATGGAAAAAGAGACGGCGCATGAGCTTGAAGTCATAAAGTGAGGAGTGAGGGAAGAGCAAATGATGGGCCGAGAGCATGATGCCCTGTGTGTGCCAGTCTTCTCTACACAAGTGTGACATAAAGACTAATATGCAGTGCGCGTGTGGTGCTAGAAGCAGCCCCGTTACATGTATTTCTTAAGGCGACAAGCATTTCTGCTATGGGTGAACAAGCTATCAGCTTTTGAGCTCCAAGGCCTCCATCATGCAATATGCTTTTTCCACATAAAGTGTATTCATTGTACAGGAATGCTGACCAAAAAAAAAAAACTGACGGAGTAAGCCTTGGCCACGCACACGAGTGCTTGGCAGTCACACCGTTTCGAAGAGATGTAAGAGCTATTTTGCAAGTATAACCACGGTGAGTCAGAATTGAAGATGAAATGCAAGTTGTTGCACACTCAGCGGCGAAGGTTTTTGTCCATATGCTTGAAGATACTCGACAAACTTTGACCAACTAACTTTTCGACACTGTCGTGTTGACCATTCCTTACATTTTCAAGTGCAACTGGTGCGATGGCCACCGTTAGCGTCATCTTACGTGGTGAACTGCAACAATCGGCGTGCAGTTTTTATTCAAAGGGCAACAATGGGGACTTGATGCCTCAATTCCTGTAATGGTGCGGAAAATTAGCCTGCGCCGCGTTGTTGTGTCAAGTATTTCTGGAATGCTCATGGTTCCACTTATCGGTTTTAATCAGTTCACGGGGTTGAAATTAGCCGCTTGCAGTTTGTTTGATTGCAGCAATTTGCGCTGTGAGCACCACAAATTGTACTCTGATTGTCGAGTTGTTGACACACCAGTTAATGGACGCTGCTTAAAAACAACAAAAGAGCAGCGATTAGGTGCACTGTACCGTTGTTGTCTTGGTGTATAAAACTTGATTCTCCCTTTTTGTATGTTTTCACGAAATGTTTTGGAGAGCCACACCTGTCTTGTCTCTCTTTGTCTCCCTCTCTCGCTCTCGCTTTATATCTCTTTCTCGCTTTCTCCCCCTCACACACACACACACACACACACACACACACACACACACACACACACACACACACACACACACACACACACTACTCGCACAAACCCCGCTTGCGTACTTCACAGGAAGTAGATGTGATTGCAGAAGCATGACCTAACGCCAGCCGGTGTTTGTTTTAGGTCTCCCAGGTGACCAGAGGCTAGAGGAAGGAAACTGAGCCCTCATCACTAGAGACTGTCATCTAGGAGCATGTTACTCTTAATGTGTTCTTGTACGTCAGTGCCTGTGTGTGTGTGTGTCTTGTATATGAATAACATGAGTATATGGGCGGGTAGCACTTTCACCATTGAGAGCAGATGTTTTAGACCACCTGGTGTAGCGGCTTGCAGAGTGTGCTGCACACGCTTCCCAACACACACACACACACACACACACACACACACACCATGACTAAAAAGACACAAAACACGCATTCGCATGGATCTGCAGAAGCCCTTTCTGTCCACATGCAGGCACGCAAGCCTCTCGGTTCTGTTTCGTGTATCTGTCCAGGAAAATCTGGAATGGAGTCAACGTTTTCCTTTGCGGAACTCCCTCTCCACTTGTGTATATGCAATAGGTGTTGAAGGAGAGTGGACCCCCGCACATGAAAAGCTTCCTGACCCGCGTCACCGTTGGAGAATTCTCAGCTGAGGGCGAGGGCAACAGCAAAAAGCTGTCCAAGAAGCGTGCCGCTCTGTCCGTTCTGCAGGACCTCAAGAAGTTGCCCTTCATTCCGGTTGTGGAGAAACCCAAAACACACTACAAGAAACGCACCAAGACCATCCTCAAGGTACTCGAGCCAGCGTGGGCGGGGGGGTGCTCAGATTTGAATCCATTGCCTTTCCTACTATAGATTAGGCAGGGATTTAATTTCTTCAACTGCAGGCCTATTCTAATGAAGGATTGGACTCGGTGTAAACAGCCATAGAGTTCTCAGCCAATTAATTGAATGAAATCAATCCTCAAAAAAAAACCCAAGAAGTGATCCAGTGTGGTGAACTGCTTAATTTCGAGTTCAGTGGGCACCCAACATTTTTCCACTTTGAGCAGGAATTGAAAATGACTTCATCCGAAATCACGACATTTTCAGATGATCGGCATCGAGTGAAAATGTTCATGAAATGGCACATTAATCATGAGGCTGAAAGACACTGTCAACTGGAGCAGAAATCGTTTAAATTCTGTCTTACACAATATCGGGTTTTCAGGTCAAGTGCTGGCGTGATTCAAAACGAGGCCAACTAAAACAAAAAATCAAGCAAAAAAGGCTTGATATAATTTCATTTGGAACTTGATATTCAAAATCTTGTTGTTTGGAGCCCTTCTGGTGATGTTTGTTCGTTTTAGCTTCAACACTCAACCAAATCCAAATGTTCTCAAGCAAAAATTGAGCATGTTCATGAGAGGTGCTGGCATCGCTGAGTATGCCCTGCAGTTGACTGAAGATTAGTCCACCGCGTACCTTGCCTCTTGCCCAAAGTCATCATTTTTAGACTCTAAAATCCACTTTAGGATCGCTTTCGTTCCAATTCCTCACGAACTTTATTTCTCCACCTGCAGCGAGGTACAGTCTCTTCTCATCGGCTAACAATCGCATCGTTCTTATCCCTAATTTAGTATGAAAATGTTTGCGATGTTCATCTGGATGACACCATTTTGCATAGAACCTTTCAACGCTTCTGTAAACCGCTTGACACCGCTCGACTACTATTATCATTGGAAGCGTTCACGTTTCCCGTTCTTTGTTACCTCGTCCTCTAGACGGGACCGGACTATGGCCAGGGCATGAACCCGATCAGCCGCCTGGCCCAGATCCAGCAGGCCAAGAAGGAGAAAGAGCCGGAGTATTTGCTGCTTTCGGAGAGGGGGATGCCCCGACGCCGGGAATTTATCATGCAGGTACGTACTGCTTTTGGCATTCTGGGAAAGACCGGCAGATAACAATCTGGGGTTCATTGGAATGGAGAAGTAAAAGGTTCGGGGCCCCGGGGCCGGGGCGCATTTCGTCTTCATGGCCATATGAGAGGATGGAGAAGGATACATTTTACACAGAAGAACGTTTTGTCAGGCATGCAGACAGTCATCGCAACATCAAAATTGAGTTAGCAGACGTTTTGATTTTGGAAGTAACGTAAGACCCTTGAAACGTGACTATGAATCTCATCAAATGCTGCAGACTTCGAGACATTGTGGGCACGTGAGATGAGTGAGAAGCATGTCATTCCATGTCCGTTGCTTCTGGCCCATGTCGACTGAACGGCATTTACGTTCATGGGAAAGCTGCATATCTGTATTTAATTGAGGAAACTCCAGTCGATGATTATTCGTCAAAGACCCGTGTAACACGCGTTAGTCTTCATAATTGCATTTAGTTTTCTTGTCATCCTCTCGATGATCCTTGCTGTTTTTTTTTTTTGTTTTTTTTTTTTCTGTGTCTGTCAGTCACATTTTCTTTTCCCGCAGTCCCCTTCTTTCATAAGCGAAACAGAGCTTCTCTTAGCGTCAGGCAGTCATTCGTCCTCAAACCTATTCTCCATGCCTCTTGGATACGCGCATCAGGCTCTATGAATGTCAGCGCGTTTCTTTTGTGTCGTCCGTTCACCCTTCTTAAATTTCCTCATTGTTCTCCGCCACAGGCGCACGGAGTGAAACGAGTCTCTGCGTACTCCTCTTGAGTTGTGTTCCAACGCACGAGTTCACCTTGTCTCAAGTGCCTTTTAATAGAGGGATTGTATATATTATTTTAAGAATTATTGTGTTTATTCTACGAGTCATTTGCCGGGCTTCTCCTCATTCTGGCTTGCTCGCGGCCCATATGATGCCTTTAAACAAGCACCTAATGAGCACGTCAGAGCACTTGGAGTAAGTGCGTGGAAGCCTGTCTTTTCACAAGCTCCGGGCCGCCTTCATGTTATTTGTACAGCGTAATTGTCTGTTTGCATAACATAACGACGTCTGATATTCTCTCGGAAATATCTGCTTACATTATGAGTTGACGGATTTAATGTTTCAAGGTTCGCTGAAAAACAAACTCTTCACTTTGCCTTTCTTCGCAAAGTGCAAATTCTGTAGCCTGCTCGGTCTGGGGAAGGAAACGGAAGCCTTCCTGGCTACAAGTGAGTCAAAGTGTGAAAAACGGATGTAATGTCACAAGAACCGTGCCGCTTCAACGGGCTTCTGCTCAAGTGGTGCCTTGCAGCTGGCCTCTTTTTTTATTTATTTATTTATTTATTTTTAATTTATTATGAATTGTGACTATTTTAAGTCGGCTGTGTTCTTCACGCAGGTGAAGGTAAACAACGATGTTGCCTCGGGAACAGGGCCGAACAAAAAGGTGGCTAAACGGAATGCTGCTGAGGCAATGCTGCTGCAGCTGGGATACAAAGCCTCGACAGTTTCCCAAAATCCTACAGAGGTACTTCTTTTTTTTAAGTGGTGTAGTGTTTTGTTTTAACAAAATGTTCTACTGCATTTAGCATTGATTAGTGATACACTACATCACCATGTGACTTACTTCCAAACTCAGACCAGACTGCAGTGTTAAATATACTGTCATGAGAGGGATCATGAATCTACAAGTTCATTGCTGTTTTGCACACAGCAACATGCAATTTAAGCCAGAATCCGTTTTTAATTCTTGGCTGTTGTTGCCATTCAATCCCTTTTCTTATTCACGATGTACTGACAATGAGCTCCATTCCTAGTCACATCTTCTTTTCACATAGCACCTTTCAAGGTACCCAAGGTGCTCCACCAAATCAGTCGCGTTCCTGTTTTCTCTGCGCTCATCACCATTCCGACCTCTTTTCTCATCTCAACTGCCACACCGAGCCAAAAATAGTTGGGCTCGGTGTTGTGCACACGTGTGTTTGTGACTGTGTGCGTTTGTGTATGCAGACGCGCATACCACCACAGCAGCAGCACACTGAATAGGAGCCTTTGAGGGTGCTGAACATTGACGGCCCCCACCTGATTAAATAGCTGGCTTAGACGGACACTGGGCTCCTTAAGCGTTCTCGCATGTGAGCGCTCGTCTCTTTGTGGTCCAAACAGTAGGAAGGAACTTGTCTGACATGCGTGGAAAAAGCTGTCTGTTCAAGAATACATCTCTCTTACTTACCCCCCCCCCACCCCCACCCCTTCTCCGCCTCCCTCTGCATCACCACAGATGGACAACAAAGCCTGGAGTGGACAAAAGGCATCTTTTACCGAAGCAACGAGTAACAGTGAGTATCGGCACGTCTCTCCGTCTCTCTTTCCATTTCCTTCTCCTCCCCTTTCCCCGCATCTCCATCGCCGCCTCTATCCCCAGGTGGTTTTAGTTGCCGAGATGGCCCGGCGTTTAATCTCTGTGACTGGTCAATGGGCATCTGACTGTCAGTTTAATCGGCCGTGCGTCCTCGTGGGCAGCCTGCGAATTCAGGCCCATTCACTCAGACTTACAGGGCCCGCACACTGAGGCCCGCTGGGGAGTCCCCCCGCTGGCTTCCTGTGCACAAAACATCACATTTCACTCAGGATTAACGCACAAGCGCACATTCACATAATCCTACACACTGAAGACGTATATAAAGCACAAGATGATGCAGGCCATCGATGTGAAAATATGACGTGAAGGCGGCGGTGGGATGTCTTTGTTGCTTGCTGACTTGAAAGCAACTGCAGACAAAATAAGGTAAAGACACCAAAGTGTATAACTTTGAAGTCACCCCTAGTACCGCTTAAGGTCTGCTGTATCTCGCCATAATAGTGACTCTTCATTATCGGCTCATCTTCTTGCTTGCATCGACTTCCACGTGTCAATCTTTCTTTATTTTATTTTTAAAAAAAAAAATAATGAAAGATTTCTCTGTATTGTTTCCATGGGAATGTGGTGACTCGGCATGCCTTTTCGTTTGACAGTGGGAGGTACAACTCACAGTACATTAAAAGCATGACGGTGCAGTTCTGTAGAAAGCAGCGGCTCTCTGTCAGCTGGATATCTGTTACATTGGCCATTGTTTGGAATGAAAATAAAAATCTAATCACATGGCTTGTCATTAAGTCAAACATTTCCTTTTTTTTTTTTTTTTTTTTTTTTT